CAGCTCCACATAGAGACTGATCACAAACCGTTAAATTGGCTGAAGACGGTGAGACTGTCCAGGTGAATTTTGAGCCTGCAGGAGTATGACTTCACGATCTCACAAGCTCCAGGGAAAGAAAATTTGCTGGCAGATATTTATGCAGACCATAAGATGAAGCTGAGTCGTCAGATACCGCATAATGAGTACATGTGTTGGATCAAGATCCACTAAGACTTGTTTGCAGTCAAAAGTCGAACCTTTCCGGAATACAGTGACACAGGTGATCGCTAATGGAATTGAAGTGAATCGACCTATGGTGAACGGAGAGCTAACCGTGATACTCAAACCGAAGAACTGATCAAGACTGAACGCCTGCAGAACACTGAATTGACAAGAAAAAGATGGAAACTGGTTGGAAGAAATACCTCGGTCCCTAAGGCATGAGATGACAACAATGCCACCAGCTCATACATACAGGGATAGTAGGGACATGCCTTGTAAGCATTTACTGACAAGGTATGAGAGACGATGAAAAATATGATCTGGGACGTCCGTGGTGTCAGTTGATGAAAGGAGATCGGTGCATACCACCTTCTCTACAGTCAGTTCCAATCACGGCATTAAGTGACTTGTTGTCTGCAGATGTAATAGAGTCTTGTCTTCAAACTTTAAAAATTAATATGGTTAGGTGAAGCGAATTATGGTTTATCGATTCTACATTGCACACATGCAGTTGAAATCATGCAACGCCTATACCAGATATATGGAAAGTTGTAATAAACAACAAGGAGAAGATGTAGAGAAAAAATACATATCAGACAAATTATGAAGCCGTATAACTAAACTGAAATGATTATGAGCAATAATTTGTGCTCGAAAAGTCACCCTTCTTTTCTTGTTTGTAGGTGAGTATCACTGAATAATTTCAACTTTCCTATCTTTTCAGTTGAATCTTACCGTCACTATCCTGGAGGAGGTTGGTTCCCACAGCATTGGAGCTTTGGGTGCCGTCGGTGACATTATAATAACCACTGCCTCAGTTTGCTCGTGGTCGTCGTCTGGATGACTGAAGTATATCAGTGACATGCATTTGAATGACAGTGTTCGCCAAGTGAATAGAAGAAACGATTCCAAGCTTAATTAGCACATTCTATAGAACCTTTCGACAAGAATTCGTACGCTTGACTCCCACTTGATCTAGGTAAGTCAAACATACCAATTGTTAAATTCCTCAGACCATCAATCTTTTCCATTTTCACTAAAACTTCTTATTCCTATATTTTTCTTTACACCTTTCATAAATTAATCATTTTTATTTAAACTTTCTACAATGTTTTAGAGTATGTAAGTGAGTACCTTGACATGATAGTGAGAAATAAATGGCTCTTGAAATGCCATCATAAAATTATACTGTATAATTCACCTTGTGGTTTTATCAAACAAATGTATTCTATGATAAAATCTATTGAAACTTTGATGATCCACCTATCTCGGATTTCGTATTTTGTACGTTTTGACTGATTTAACACTAGATGCTGACATTTTATGTGTTTTTTGTCTGACTGCTGTTGACAGTCGAATGTAGGACAGGTGTCTGTGCCTAGATTCGATGAGACGATTATGTAAAATGACACATATAATAAATTCTAAGGAATCGAAGTTTACCGTCAAGGACAATGATAATTGCCTGTATTCCTGCAAGACTTAAACTCTAGGGAAAGAAACATTATACACAAATTCATGCATTTTATTCTACTAGTCGGTGAATGTTTGCAGAATTCATTTTCGAATATTGCTTCGTACTACTTATTATCCTCAATAAGTAGTTCACAAAATATTCGTCAACTTTATAACTTCAGCTGAATGTTTAATGTTTACAAACATTACGTCTAGTTTGTATCACATTTGTCGTACATTCCAATAAATTGCTTAGTCTGAAACTTGTTTCATCTGATATATATATATATAACTGTGTGCAACATTAATCCATAATTTCAAGCTCACGCTATATATTCTTCAAAAGAAATACGTTCAACCATTGTCTCTACCATGACCATCATAAATAGTCATTTAGCTCAATAATGATTATCCTATTACTTTGCTTATTCGAACTCCCTGTCTATTTTATTATCTATAACATTTTTAATCCCTAATTTCACAAAAACACTCAATTTTCTCAGTAATTATCATTCTATCATGCTTTTTATCTGATCTTACTGTTTATTATTACAGTTTAATCCCTATCTGCAATTTCAATAATTTGACGGGAATAAGTTCAGGAACTTCCTCACCCATTTATACTATAAATACATGAATGTGCAGTTTATTTGATGACTTTATCGAAAAGAAAATTTTCCTAGCTGCAACTGTCTTTTTAATATGTCCTATGATCCAGTGCGCATATTCCCTGATTCAATTAATGTATCGCATTGTACAACAGCATAATTTTCTCAATGTCGCTAAGAACGTCTATCACATATAACAAGTCAGTTTAAAGTCTGTTACTGATGGTGAACTCATGTATCATCGATTTTTCGACAGTAGATAATAAATGTCAAAATTTTCAGTTTTCCAAATTACTGTTAATGAATGATATTTTGATTAATAGTAATTTGATGTGCTATTTTGAAACAAGACATACAACTGAGTAACACTAATTCAATAGGCATTACTCTATCATCCATAGCCTTATATATAAAATTTGTTAATCACTGACGGCGAGCCTGCGGATTGAAAACAAGCCTTAGAGTTTGCAAATATGTCAGCGATAAGAAAGATTATGTCAGCAATAAATAATGATGATGTGACCAATGATAATGAGAAGCTTTAATCAATTTACTGAGTCTACCAAGGTCAGAGGGGAAACAAATATACAGCAAACTTCCTTTGTAAACAAGGAATATGGCAAAAATATTATTCATCAATAATCCTCATCCAGACGTTGGCAAAAACAAAACACGAATGGGCACTTTTCGATGAATTCATTTTCTTTAGCTGTACGGTTGTTTCATGAAATAGGGTAGTAAAAAAAGTGATAGGCTGTCATAATCCTAGTTTTTAATATTAGTCAGTGAATAGGAGGAGTTGAATAAGTGAGTCAGGGTTGTTGTTATCAGGATTCACACAGAAACGAAGAAGAAAATGGAATTATGTAGGAGTTCTGAAGTATTACAATAGTCATAAGGAGTGAGAAAGACAAACAAAGAAAAATCAAGCCAGTATAAATCAACGAAGTTGTTACTGTGATAGAAGAATCTGTCGAATAATTTTCTTTTCGCACGCCTAGCTCTGGTCTCTCTGTCTGACTGGCTAGAGCTTCAGTAAACCAAAGGAGATGAAAGCGAATGGTGTCTTTAACAGGTTGTTGTTCTTCACTCTGTAGATCACTTTGAAGAAAGCGCTTATAAAGATACAATAACTAGTATTGAGGACGTGTTTGGTTATCGTACTCATTATGGAGCTGCCAGCTAGTGTTTCTGAACACTTTTGGACAGGAAACGCGTACAGTGACGAATGTATCTGTCTCTACAACAATAGGTGAACCGATTGATGTATGCACACCGAAGTGGTCACATGCGAGATCTTGTCGTTAAGGCTTCTGCGGAAAAATGGATGACTGGAGAACACTATTCTAATGGTTGCTGAGATGAACCTGCTTCTCGAATCTTGATGAAATTCTTCTCTCAGGGATATCACAGGTTAAGTCTCCCTATGTAATCCAGGTTCATGTAAAGTTTGCTTTTTCGAACAAGTAATGTTTCGTTCCTTTGAACTTTTGGTTTGATATTCTTGTCAGTTAATCTGGAAGAGTATCAATTTTGAATAAAGATTTCTTTCACTGTGACTCTAAGCAGAGCACTAGTGAAATCATTTAAGCCTTGACTTACAAGAAGACGAATTAGTTCAGTTTTGATGGGACGATGCTGGATATGTTTTCCTTGTCTATCACTTTGTTCTGACAACGTCTGGAGTATTTATGTATCAGAGATTTACAGGTAACCAGATCACATTTGCTATACTATAGGTTTCTGGGTATTTTCATAACCCGTCTTTTCTTCTGATGTCCCATCCTCCCACTTGTGTGTAAACAACATCCTAGTTGGCAGTCTTTATCTGATTAGCTGTCTTGTCTTTACAGTAAAGCTTGCTTATAACTGGGATAATGCTTACTGTATTTTTTGGTTCGTCCTACTGTTATTTCAGCACACAAGTCTTAATTTGACTTTACATTTTTATAGACTGATTGCTAGGCAACAGCTATTTCTTATATTTCAGAAGGCGGTTTCCATAACCAGGACGTTAAATAAAGTTGAGGGATTTTCGAGAGATAAGTTAATGAATAACGATCGAAGCAGACGACTAACTGCGTAAGGCCTAGCACTGTTTTCGTAGGTAATAATGCGTTTACATCATGTAAACAGGAGTTTACCATTAGTAATGATTGGTTGTTGTTCAAGACTAAGAGAAAGGACTTTATATGGAAAACCTCTATGCAACAGGCTCTAACCAAATAGTTAATGGCTCTTAATTTGTATCCGTCCTATCAACGATGCTTATTTGCATAAATATACCGACACTCCAACGGGAAACTGGGTATTATTCTTGCAGAATTCCCAATTAAGCAAACCTAAAAATAATATTCTTATACTTTCTTCATGAAAGAACTATATTCCCCTCCTAATTAGCCTAGTTTACTCCGATTCGTCGATTTAGGCGTTATTGAATCCGTCGTTCGCTTTGACCAGCGATTTCGCCTATTGTTCCAATAAAAAAAGATCGTCAACAGTGCTGAAAAACATTGTACCTGTTGTGAATGTGAAAATTCTCTTAAGGAAATCACTTCAGGCAAGATAATCACATTTGTAGAGCAAATTAAAGGAACAAAGTGTATTTCATCTAATTGTATCAAAACATGAAAACAAAAATGATTATAGTAGTAAAATATGAAGGATTTGATATGCAAAGAGTTTACTTTTTTTTACAGTTTTTCGGTTATTTTACTCTTATCATTAATATTATTATACCATAACTTCACGAAAATAAGGATGAGAGTTGATTTCGTTTAAGATGGATTCTTCCGAGGGTTCTTGAAGTTTTCGGCTATAACAAGGATAAAGAAAGGAAGGTATTAGTATGTTTCTAACATATGATAAATGAGATATTACTATAATTGTTATGCTCACATGTTTATCAAAGCCAAAATCTTATTCCAGTTGTATTAAACAACGACTGTATCTGGTACAGTGGTTATCTACAACGTGTCAACTTGCTACAAAATATGTCGATTCATCTCAGTGTTTCTATAAAGATGACATTGCATGTTTGGCATGTGATCTGCTCCTGTCAAATGTAAGAAGGTGTTACAGAACTGGACTGTATACACTTACTCCTAGCTTAAAGATACAGAGTGAAGTGGTTAAGCATGTTGACCTCTTCATTTATTTGGGAAGTTCTATCAGAGACTTGGCGGGTGATAAAGAATATTTCCAACAGGTTGCAGACCTTTATCAACAACTGTCTTCGCTCTATAGTGAAGATCAGATGACCAGAAAGAATCACCAACAAGAAACTATGGGAACAAACAAAACAAGAACCAATCGCTCAACAAATATGCAAGAGAAAGTGTAGATGGATTGGACATTCGCAGAGGAGGCCGTTGGGTGACATCGCGCGTCAGGTCATCGCTCGAGTGGAACCCGAAAGGGAAGCGGTGAGTGGGACGTCCAAGGGTGGGTAACATGGAGGAGATCGTGTGAAGAGGAGTTGAAACAGTATGGATTGACATGGATGCAGGTGAAAAGTACAGCAGAAAACAGAAGCAAGTGGAGGCGTGCAGTTGAAGCCCTATGTTCCACTAGGAACCCAAGGGAACAGTAATAATAATAATCAGCCGCAGTGAACTGATTGGTGACAAAATCTCAGCATGGATATACATGGCTCGTTTGGCGTATGCCATCTTACGCCATCTCTAGCGTAGACGTAATGTCCGAATGTTAGCCGAAGGACGTGTGCACTGTTCAGTAGTTCACTCCATCCTTGTTTATCGCTGTGAGACATGGTCATTAAAAGTGGAAGAAACAAAACTGCTAAAAGTCTTTGATCATTAGTGCTTCGACCAACAACATTTGCTGAAATAGGATCAGGTTGCAGACGAGATAGTGGTGGTCATACTAAAACTTGGTATCAGTTCATGAAAAATATGGTAGTCACTTTGAGCCAACCACTTACGGAAGTGTAGACTACCTGGTTGGGATCCTTGTGATGTTCAGGACCAATGGTGGCTGGACACAATTGGTGATAGGTCAGAAAATCGTTCTCAGTGGCGCAGATGAATTCACTTTTTGTGATCTGTCATATCCGTCATGTTTTTCCATATTGCCATTCTTTCTCTCGCACACTTCTTTTTCTTGTAATTTTTTTTCTGAATCTCTTTTTTGCCTCCCTTTGTGTGCCACATGGAGTGTGGCAACTCGAACATCTGTAATTCTGTGCAAGCGTCTACGCTGAAAACAGTCAGTCAGCCAGTGAGTCATGAAGATTACAGTCTTTTTCCTTCCACCCCCGCCCGCCGCCAACTCCGCCTTAAAGACATGAATGCTTAAGTCATTATTTTCGACTTAACAATAACTATTTCCTTACAATCAGATGCTCGTTAACCTATAATATAAATTCAAGTCGCATAATCTAGAAAACATGAGTCATTAGATTTCAGTGCATTTTGACTTATCCCATTTAATACATTTGACGTATTATGGAATTATACTCCACTACAGTATCCTAACCCTGTCCTTATATCATTATATCAGATATACCTCAGTTCTTCGGTTCTTTAATGTCTTTAAAAAGCTGCATTTGAAAACGTCTCAGATCAAATCTAACAACTATTTGTGTTCATTGAACAGTAGTTACAATGTCTACGCTTCTAATCATAATGTCTACTTTTAATCATAGAAAGAAATCTAGTCCTTCAACTTCTAGAGTTAACTTAACTAAAGTAATCTCACACTGCATAATAAGGTTTAACAGTCTAAGTGATTATTTAGCAAAAAACTGAAATTATATGTTGGTCATATTCAACTAATGTCTTCACTCTTACTAATAAACTCACGAAACGCGAAATCGAATCAAATGACATTCGAATGAAATTGGTTGTTCTCAGATATCAAATATAGTATAAACATGAAATCAGCGAGATAGTATCAAGGCGAATGCAGGGTTTTAGTCATTTGGTTGGAGGATTTCATCATGAGCTGACTTCGTTTAGAGAACAATTGGAAAACCTGCAGGGACTACTGGACATCTGTTTCCCATGTCCTAGTTCGGGACTCCTCAGTGGTACACACCCACCGGGGTTCGGAACCAGGACCTTCTGGTTACGAAGCTAACTAGCTCACAGACCACTTAGCCACTAGGACCCCACCCGATCCAATGGCCAGCCCATGAATTCCAACTTCTGCCAATTTAATAACGGTCTGTGTACAGAAGAAATATGTACAATCCCTGCCTCTGCATTGGCCGTAGAGGGATAGACATTTAATTATTTATTTATTTTGTTTATTTAGTTAATCTATGTACCTTTCCTTCATTACTAAGATTATTATTGTTATTTTTACTATCCTCACTCTGAATTGTTTCCACTTGTCTCACTTGACATTCTAAATCCAAAAAAATTTTTTTAAATATTGAATTCTATCTTATCAAATTTCACACCATGTTATGTAACATTTTATATTCGTCTATTAATCTTATAATTATGTACCCCTTTCCAAAATTCTACACACCTTATGTATTATTCTATATACGACATTAATTAGTTTGCCACTTGACATTAAACTATGATTATAAACACAAATATTTTAATTGCATTTCATACTACTATTATTTTTATTATAATTTCACGTAGTCGTTTAAAAGAGTCTCCTCGCTGAATATTCTATACTTTATGTTAACAAGTGGGAATTATTAAATTATTTCACTAATAGATTACAACGCATCGGTATATCTAAAACAAATTGAACAGATTGTTACCTTTCTAAGCATTTAAGTACATTTATTTGACAACAAGTCAAGAACTCCATTTAACTAAAACCAGATGAAGTTGGTTCATTGTTCCTAGAATTATCTGAGGCATTACCATTAGTTCTGAAAGCCTCTGACGCATAATAGTTTCTTATTACGCGTATTCCCCATACCACATAAGAATTCACTTACATTCATTTACCAGCAATACAGTATAAATCAAGTGATTTTCAGCATTTATCGGATATTATTTCAGTTCCACTGGAATTCATACACTTAAATCCCTCAAATGTTAATTGAATCTTCACTTCCTTGCGTTTATAATTTAATAAAGCTGCCTGTTTTTAAAAAGGTCCTGTGAATTCAAAGTGTTAATTTCCATCTGGGCAAGATTATTGATACTATTTCGGGGTTATCGCTGTGAAAGGTTTCGATTCAAGAGGTTATAGACTTTCAAAGTGCATTTAGTAAAGCCTGTCAGAACGTTAATTCAGTAAATTTCTTTATGTAGAATAATACTACTGTTACTACTAACAGAAGTAATATCAATAATTGAATGTTAATTTCCACTGAATCTTACCGAAATATCTCATCCAATGACATCGGAGTGATCTCAGTAGAAGAACGCCGTCTAAGAAACGACATTGATGCGATTACTAAACGTCGAGATTTCTGTCTGCTGGATTCCCCGGTATTATTTGAATAGGAATGTTGGTTCAGACGAGAAGATATTTGTTCATTTGAGTTGAATGTTTCACTCCTCAGTGTTTCTGTTGGTTGGTTTTGATAAATTAATATTTCTGTGTAGAGATCACGACGATATAAAAATGTCTGGAAAAGGAATTTTTAAAGTATCTTTGAGAATATAATAATACTTCTAATCAATTATAAGAGAAGACTGAATGAAATGTTACTGTGGTCGGAATCAAATGGTGAGTCACTCCCACATTAAGTAAGTAGCTAAAGTATATCATACTTGTTTTCTGACAAACGTTATTTGGCTACACAGTTGATATTCACGAAACTGCATCTATACTTCTACTTGTCAGAATCCAAGTTGTTCTACAAAACACTTTCAGAATATTATTATTCCACTTTGAGACTAGTCAATTCATTCGTTGCGTCAGTGGCACAGCGGTTAGGACGCTCGCCGACCATGCACATGGTCCGGGGTTCAATCCACGGCAGACGCACTCCTTTACCTCACTAAGCTAGTAATAAAACTGGTAAAGAGGGAAGGTTGGGCATGAGTCTAGCAACTCCATCCTGTAAAAGTAAACTCTGCTACCGAAACTTCAAACCTGTAGCCTGAAACCCTATGTCCCACTGGGAACGTAAAGGAATAATAAAAAATTTCACAATATTGCTTTCTGATATATTTTTTCAACATAATTTACTATTCATAATCGCATTGAGGGTAACTACTCTGTAGAGAAAGCAAGTAGTTTTTATAGTTCCATCTGTCTTCTTCTGTGCTTTGAAGATACCATCGCGACTGGACTGATTTTTCGGCTTAGGCTTGCTAGTTCCATGCCCAGCCTTCCCTATTTCTTCAGGCGAAGGACTACTGGCTGGTAATATAGGCGACTCAATCAAAGGCAAGATCTTAAAAGGATGATACATCTTCATTACTCTGAAAGCTGTGTGGAAATCTGTTGCATTCAGAGTGAGGAAGAACATCTAAATTTTCAACACCAACGTCAAGTCACTGCCTCCATGTGGCTCCGCGAGTTGGTGGCGTCACGAAAAGAAATCCCAGCAGGCTGATGCATAATTCCCTCAACAGTTGACTTCACTCCATGCTGAAGAGCAGATGGCCGGAAGACCAAAATTGATAAGCGATAACTAACCAGCCAAGAACCTATCAGCCAACAAATATGCAGAGGGAAATATAAATGGGTGAGATATTTTCTGAGGAAGACATCGAGTGACGCTAAGTGTCAGCACGTCAGGAGGGACTTGAATTAGAAACGATGAGTTTGGCTTCTAACAGTGTTATGGAGGCGAATTTGTGAATAGAAGGAAATAAAAGTTCATAGTCATTTGTCCAGCCAACCAAAAGAGATTGCAGTGAAGAGAATGACATGGCGCTGTTCTGCTCAGGCCCCATGTTCCACTCAGACGCCAACAGGGTGATAATAATTTCTCTTTTTATTTAGTCGTAGTGGTCATAATGTTCCAGGAATCTGGAAAAGCTTAGGATAATGTCTTTTCCTTTATTATATTGTTGTCGTATATGCCTAATAATAAGGCTAGTGTTCAAATGAACTCCATCATACTACCAAGTTCCTATTGGTGTGTTAGTGTTCTTCCAGTTTTTCAATAAAAAAATCTTGAATAACTTTTCTGCTTGTATAAGAACAGAGCTGATCAGATTAAAAAGTAATATAAGTATGTAGTATTTGACTTGTAAAACGTTTGCATATGTTACATTCGTAAAGTATGTGCGTTTCTTTTTGTATAAGACATGTGGCAAGTAGTAGGTTTTGGAAAGTTCAAAATTAGAATTAACAAGAAGACAATAAAGCATGATAAATTGCGCTTCTTTTCTCTTGTATTAAATCCGTAACAGGTTAAGATAGAAAGTTATATAGTCTTATGATTCATGTACATGAACATTCTCTCTAACCTCGCCATTCATGCCCACAATTTGCTTTTGAGAAACCTCGACCACATTACATATACATTTACAGCAATGCACTTGCATTTTACTTAACACTTGGATTCATTTATGACCCATGATCATTCTCACTGTTGAAATTTTATTTCCAATGAGCTAAAGGGTTATGTTAAAGTTGTGGTAATAAAGCTGTTTATTAACTTTCATTATTCAGATTGTAGGCAGCTGACAGGAGATGGCGACGAAATAAATAGATCCGTTTTATCCTGCCGTATGTGTTATTATTATTTCCTTGGGTTCCGAGTGAAAGATAGGGATCCAACAGCAGATAGCCTTACCCTATTTTCTGGGGTCCTGTTCAGATTTTCCCATGATTGTCTATAGTCTCTCATCTCCTCTTCACACGATTTCCTCCATGTCAACCGCGGACACAAGTCCAACTCGCTGTATCCTATCCGGGTTACACTTGAACAATAGCCTGGAGCAAGATGCCACTTGATGGTCTCCTCAGTGTGAGTCCGATCCAACTCCATTTTTTCGGATATATTTCTTGAAAAACAGGTTCTTGGTTGGTTCGCTCCCTGAGTTTCGTATTGCTGGTTCTTTCTGGCCAGCTGATCTTCAGTAGGCAGGCAACAAAGGTAGCTGTTGATAAAAGACTACAGTCTGTGTTGGATTGCTTTTGGTGACTAGTGCTCCAAGTTTCTGACCTGTACAAAAGCACTGACTTACTTAATATTGATGTTGAAAATCCGAATTCTGTTCTTTGTGCTGTGGAGTTCAGAAGATTTCCAAAGTTATTTCAGAGTGATGAAAGTCCGTCTTGCCTTTCCAGTTTCTGTTCTGACATCCTCATCCGTCCCTCCTATAGTTGAGACGACGGTGTCTAGAAAAGTGAAGGAAGTGACGTCTTTTGAATTTATTCCGTTGGTGGTGATTAACACTTTTTGTTGTTGGTTAGTTATCTTCATCACCTCCGTCTTCTCTATATTCACTTGAATTTCTGTCTTCGCTGCCTTTCTCTTCTACCAGTATGTTGGTTTTCACCTGTAAGCCTTTGAATTTATGCGACACTAAACATAAGCCGTCCGCCAAATCCAGATCTTCTAGAGTCTTCTTATCGCTGGTCCAACGTATTCCAGTCTTTTCGCTCCCCATAGTCTGGCAAATAATCAAGTCCACCACAGCCTAGAATATCACAGCCTTGCCTCACTCCTTTCCGTCTTCACTTCAAAGTGTCTGCTGAGTTCTCCCTTGTGGATCGCCTGACACGTGCCACTGCCATATATCTACGCTGTTATTGGTTTGTTCAGATTAATTGTTGACTGAAGTTCGAGTATGAAATACACTAAGCAGTAGGTTGAAATAGGAAATTAAATCAACTTAACAGCTTATTCTTGAAATAAGACTTTCATGCATACTACTGGAATTTGCCAAACTAAAAAGAAATCAGCGCTGACTGCAACTTGATCTATAACAGTTGTCTTTTTTCACTTCACACCATTCTGAAATATGACTGCATTTAAACTGTTTTCTTCCTTTTCAGAAATTACTGTGAATGGCTGAATAGTTTGAAAGGTCAGATGAGCTTATTTAAAAGTAGAGTTTATAAAAGTCAATGCAACAACAACAACCTAGGAAACTAGCGATAGAAGAATGCCTGCTGTGAATGCAGAATGAAGTGGAAACTCGTTTGCCCAAATTATTTGTGTTTTTCATACAGTTAAAGCATGTAATAATGAATTCTTTGGAACAATCATAGATATAAAACATTTAAGATTAATCACCATAAGACGAAGTTAAACTGTCATAACGAAAGTCAAGGTTTGTCAAAAGCTTACCTTCAAAGACCAATCAGATTTAGGTATTGCTACGCAAGGTTATTCCAAATCAAACTATGCCTGCCTTTATCGATTTGGTGAGTGAGTATCATGAAGGCCGAGTGTTTGACTACTGTGTCAATAACGGATTAACTGGAGTCACAAAGACTTGTGTGTGTATGTGGAGAGTATGACAATTATGTGATACAACCTTGTGGGAGATTAATGCTGCTATAGATGCAACTTATGCGATAAGAGAAAATTCCTTTGTGACCGTAAGCATAGGATTTCACTTATTCTCTAGGTACTTTTCCCTGTAAATCTATACTGTTAGGCAGGGGATAGGGATAGGTTAAAGAATAGAGTCAGGAATATCAATGGATTCCAAAGTATCGTTATCTACAGTCATCTGGATGAATATATGTCTATCGTGCATGGTAAGATTCCTGTATGGATTATCCTTGGAGTAATTGGGAGATATTCTTCTTACAATACATAAGAGACAATATCATGTTTGAAATGTTTTTTTAATAAATTTTTCAACGATTATGCGTCTTTATTTGCGTCTGAATTCTGACTGACTGTTCAAGACCACTGTGATTTTGGCTGTGATAGTTTAAATTCGACCACAAAAGAAAAAGAAAAACGAAAAACTACTGAAATGGTTACTTTCAAAAAACCTACTTCAATGATGAAGGCAGTCGTTAGGCTGAGAATTCCAACAACAACAATTAACCACCAACTGATCATGTAGACATGAACCCATCTGTGCATACAACAAATGAAATACACAAATAAATGTTCTAGTGAACACGTTAATCAAGTAAGCAATGAATGTTAAACAAAATAGTTTGTACCACATTACATGGGTGTATATGCCTATGTGTGTGATAAAATAATAAATTTCTAAAATTGCCTTCTTTTGTTAAAAGAACTCTTTATCAGCTGAAAAAAATGAATGATTACAAAGCAAAAGAAACACTCAGATAATATAGGTGGTTTGTATTCCCTTGAAGTTGACTAGAGTATTCAAATCTAAATAAGCTGAATAAGAAAGAATATAGCACAACCGACAATGACAAAATCCGTCTTCTAAGAGGGTATACTGGGGGCGCCTTAACATTGACCAACATTGTGGAGGATAACCAGGTTTTATAGATTTGGCAAGACTGGCGTCGAAAGTATATGTCTCGTAGTCCCCACAGTCTGTTACGTGATCCAGTTTACTGTAATCTGGCAGATCATCAACGATAGTAAGCAGCTTTGTATTACTGCTATCTTTACTTCAGAACCTCCTCTGAGCTTCCTGTTGTAAATCACTAGGCCTATGACATTATCATATAGCTGTTGAATTAGGTTTGTAAATGTTTGCGGTACTGCGCTCCGTACTGTTGAAGTGGTCTTCAAAATACTTCAGGGTTGAAGCTGTTGAAATTGCCTTCAAAGTCTTTGAAGTTGAGGTAGAGAGTTGATTGTCATTCTAGGCGCTGTTCGATGATGATGCTTAGTGTGGTGATTTTATCAGTGCATAACTAGCTTTATCCCAATCCAGCTGTTCCTAGAAGAGTCTTACCTCCAGGTTATCTTTCAGTCTTTCCAGAATGATGTGATTTAGTATTTTCCTAAAGGCGAACAGGATCATGATTCTGTTACAGTTCTAGCATGGAATGATGTTACCATTCTTTGGCAGTATGATAAGGTAGCCTCTCTTCCAGTCCTTAGGGCATACTTCCTTATTTCTACACCTCCTGGTATATGGATATGAGAATATCTCCTGAGGTTTCTGAGTCCGATTTCAGTACAGTGAAATACCAGGCTATACAAACAGTTAAGAAATACTCTTATTCGCTAGAAAAATTTAACGTCAAGTTGCTGAAAGTAAAACAAAGTAAGCAGACTTCTGTTTTATTTCCCAGCTTTTAATGCTGTTGAACAATGCAGATCTAGTAAAATGAAGGATTCCGATTACAGATGCAAACGATTTTGATCTATTTACTAACATTAGTGAATTTACAATTTCATATATTTCTGATTAGCTTTCTGTTTCCCTGTTCACATTACCGCATAAATTGAAAAATAGTTCACTGTTAAACTTGACTGAGTTGCAAAATATTTTATACATTTTGAGCAGGCAAACACTTCATAATTAACGAGAACCAAGGAGTAAATAGTAACATTCATAATAACTCATCGAACTGGTCAGAAACCATTAAGACGGTACCTTCCAGTTGGCCAGTACACCCATTTCATGTGGTTTGTCCCTCTTGCATACAAATGAAGTGTCATCAGTACCCTAATGTTTCGTGATAGAAAAATCTGCACAACCGACAATTTTGACGATGAAATACGCGAAATAGAAAATTCATTATTTGAGGATAAACATCGAAAAAAACTTTGTTAAAGTCTTCGTGACGAGAACAAGCAGAGAGAAATACTTGCTAACTTTACAGAAGAAACGTATATATATATGTATGACTTAAGCGTTCAAAGGAGGTGTAGCCACTGAATTAATGGTATCGAAGTTCTGAAAAATAATAGCTAAAAATTATTTACCGCAACACTATGCTTAAAGTTTACCATTTATTGTGTAATTCCAATGCAGATAAAGGATAAGTTACCTAGTGCAGCCATTTCAATGTGCATTTATAAATTTAACTGTTTTTGTGAGGACAACTACATAGGTAGAACGACTCAGAAAGCCCACCGTCGGCACCTTGAGCATTGTCCAACGTGGTGAGATAAAGGAGTCATAAAGCCAATCAGGAACTCCATACTGGCACACCATGTAGATACAGAGCAGAAGACTGATAAAAAGCGTTCAGTCTTCACAATTCTATACAAGGTGCCGCCTCATTTCCCTAGGTTCGTACGCATTCCGTTGCCAAAACATAGCTTAGGCATTTTCCATATAGTATGGTTTCATCCCAATTTGTGAGTTCATAAAAAGTTTGTTCGATACGTTCAACCTCGTCCTAGAATAGTTACGTCTCTGTGTAAGGCCAGATAACTGTTGACATTATTTTTATCTGTACTGTTAACTCTATTATTAATATCATACTGTGCTATAGTTGCATATTTTAATCTTAGTTTCACAATTTATTATTATTATATTATCTGATCGCTATGTGACAATAGTTATTTCCCTCTTATCCCTACTAGTATACAAATTCTACTTAATTCTATTGATCCGCAATGTTTCAAATGTTTATAACTAATATTTTATTATTGTAATTGTAAGGCCTCATGAGAAATTACCGAAGATAAGTATTTACTCCAATTACCTTCTATAATTATCACTATGAGTACATATTTAAGTGCCAAGTGAATTAAGAAACGAGTTACCTTTGTGCATTACTGGTTAATTAAAGCAATATGTTGTAATCTTCATGTTCAATAAGACTGCTATAGACTCTCACATATGTAGCATTAAAATTTACTAATAATCATTACAGAATAGAAAAACTTATTGTTGCTTATGTATATCGACACTTTAACAATGTATATCACAGAGAAAATAAATGAAACCGGATTATATATATATATATATATATATATATATATATAATTTACCTGTTCAGTGCTTTCTGATAAGCTGTAACGATGACATGCCAATTATTGACCACCATTAAATCCCACAACAGTACAAGACTAGCCTAAAATAATAAGCATATATATATATATATATAATTAATTTATCCCAATCAGTAATTATTTTTACAGAATGGAGTTCTAATCATTGTACATGTTGTTGTTCACTTACAGTTTACAAAGTAGCTTTACAAGTTCTTTTCAAGATATTTATCCCCTCATACAACACCATCCGTGCTAAAAAAATTTTATAGTTAATTTTTTATATATATAACCATACGACGATAAATTCCTGTAAAATCTCTCCTGCTTTTACCCGGAGAGATACAAGGAAAAGGTTGGGAATAAAGAGGATATTCAGTGTCGGACAAGATGATTTTAGCCCGTTGCTTGCAAGGATTTGAATTGTGTGTTAACAACAATATCAGTTTGATTGGGTCAAAGACATTAACTCACTAAGGATGCCTACAGTCTTCAAAGTCTTAAGTAATCTAACGTCGCCTGTTGGGAGGTTGAAGAAACAATGATGGAAATTATAGCAGTGCATGAATTAATAAGTGTTAGGGAAGAGTTCTAAGTATGTCCGAAAATCTCAACTTCCTAATACAACAAGTCAAAAGAAAGCTTCTTCTAAATATAGGGCGACTGGAAATGATTTGAAGAGAAACTGATATCAAGTTAGATAATATCCACTTGATATATATTTATACATATAGTTGTAAAGAAGATATAATGGTTCGTTTCAGAGATTAGTTCAAAGGATTCCAATACGGAATGGTCGCTACACGAATCGTTGTTTATCAATGCTGAATTTAAAGGTGATACTGCAGTCGCGATTTTGAAGATCCACTTATCAAAATTCTCTAGGATACTATTTCTTTTAGCTGGGATATGAGTTAGTTTCTACAGTGAACAACCGATAATGGGTGTATGAGGAAGAAACTATCACTTTGGATTATTTCAGTGTGTATCCATACATCCACTTAAATCTGTAAGGCTAGTTAAGCTGCCAGTACAAAGTGCACACTTTCTGAAATCATTTCAGGACATGGGAATCAAGAGGACAGTTTAAGTCAACTACTAGTATGACGACAGAAGACAAGGTCCAGGCAACAGAACGTTTACTGAGAAAACCAAGAGACATTTATAGATTTTTATGTACATTATTGCAGAGAAGCAGCGTCTTCTGGTTGGTTGTTCTGTCACTGAAAGTTAATCTATCATCTCTTTGTGGCCATTTATTTGAAGGTCATACCGTATATTTGTGAACTGTATCCACCCACGCAAAGTCTTTGTTCTTTTTTTTCTCATGACCAAGATTTGGGAAGTAAACGTTGACGTAAATTGCTGTCTACCAATTTTGGCTAGCAGACAGCTCTCACCACACTAACACACAAACATGTCCCTATCACTCAATAATATTCTACTGTATACTTTAGTAAATATAGATACAGTTGTACAGACTTTAAAGATGACTTTTCCTATGAAGAAAGTTCTCTTGTTTGAACTGTCTCTTATTTTCATTGTAGCTCAATGAATATTGTCAGCCATGTAAGCACAATTATTAACTGGACAGACAGATTACAGAAATGGATTATTAACTGTAGCGTGAACCAATTCACAAGAGTTGTACTCTGTTAAAAAATCTTCAGTTTCCTTCTGGTCAAGAAGTTATAAGCTAGCAAAGAAAACTGTACAAAATTATTACAGCTTTTAGGTATTTCATTTGTTGTGTACTTAAAAATAACTGAACTAGTGGAATATAATATTAACTAATCAGCTAGGTTTTAAGCAAACAGTTTTTCAAGCATTGATTTGTAGGGATTTGATAGACTGGTTATATGAATGTATAATGAGCTGACATCGGTTACAGAACTATTGGAAAACCAACAGGGAGTACTGGACAGCTGTTTCCCTTGTCCCAGTTTGAAACTCTTCATCAGTACGAACCCACCAGCAGGGTTCAAACCCCGGTCCCTCTAGTTACAAGGTAGTTACATGGGGTTCTAGTGAGAAGTCGTGACCAGTAGGGTACGACAGGTCGGATGTGAGGACAAGTACTCGCCACCGATGACAATGACTAGTGGTCGTGCTATGTCGTGAAGCGATAGAAGTTGGAATTCATGGACTGGCCATTGGATCGGGTGTGGTCCCAGTGCTTTAATGGTCTCGTAACCAGAAGGTCCTGGTTCCGAACCCCGGTGGGTGTGTGCTGCTGAAGAGTCCCGAACTAGAACAAGGGAAACAGCTGTCCAATATTCCCTGCAGGTTTTGCAGTAGTTCCCTAACCGATGTCAGCTCATGAGGAAATCCTGTAATCAAATATTTTTTGTTATGCGAAATCTGTTGATTAAAAGAACTAGGCAGCTGCTATCATTTCTGTATAGTTTTTTCGTATGTAATACAAATTTAAGTAAGGCTGTTTACCCCCAATAATATCTCAATAATTGGTTTGTTGACTTCAAATTACTTAAAGGTACACAAGCCACACAATCTTAGTGGACAGAAACTTGATGCAAGAGCTGGAAACCTTGTGTAAAGCTCTCAGTATACTTCGTAAGTGCTTTGCAATTATCGAGGTGTAGATGATGTATGTAGCTGGTGTCCCTTGACTGCTATCAATAGATAATTACAGTGTGACATTTTCTCACCTTAGAAACCATTCATGCGTGCAGCATCAATTTCTTCTGTTCTACTTTTCAGCTGCGAAATGCACTTATCAAAGACTGAACTACAAGTTGAAGTCGTATGTCATGCACGGCAAAGAAAGTATTTCTCTAAATCAAGTTATGCGTAAATATCCAACGGTGTCAGCTGAATTTGGAATAGGTTAGTATCCATAATCTTTTTCAGGATCAATAATCTGAGGTGTTTAAGAAAGTGACTGTAAGACTGAGGCTTGTTGACTCATAAGAAATCAAAAGCCAGTGACTGTCATGCATTCGGTAACTGGCAATAGTGCTCTGATCAGTCATCAGTGTGGTTAGACTAGTTGAGTAGCAGGCGAATTTTCATACACATTTAAGAAGGAATTACGCACCCTCCATCCGAGATATTGTAGTTTATTTTTTCACTAATTTTTAAGCCATAATATTTTATCCAGTGACAATAACCACTCTTTCAGGGATAAGAAATTCATAACTTTACAACAGAAAATCGCCTGCACATTTTTATGATTTTCTTTTGCGGTCTAGGCGCAATATCAGTTCGAAAACATCACATCGCAAAATAGGTAAGACAGACCAAAACGATTACACAAACGTGACCCAACAAAACAGTTATCCCTTCTACTAGTTAAACGCTAAGCGATGAAAAAGTAAAGTAGTAATAAACATAAACTGATGATAACAATGGTGTACAAAAGCCATCAAAAATTAACTACACGAAATCGCTTACAGCAAAGTCATTAAAATTCACAGACCAATACTCCATCTCCTGATATGTACCACATTCATAAGTCTTCTCCCTGTTGTGAAAACAAAGAAATCAAACTTAGTACCTTATTCATCTGGGGAATTATTTCAGTACATAACACAGACAGAGCTTCATTTTATCTTACATGGACAAAATAATCATAGATAGTAATTCAGCATTTTCTTCAGTTTGATTTAGGGAAAACATTTAGTTCAGAACAGATTTGTTTTTGGCAATTTCATTCTCAACAGCTACTAAACTAAATCATAATTTATTTAAATAAATTCGCATAATTACAATTACTATTATTATTCAATTTTGTATGGTATCGAATGTAGCATTTAAAGGTGATAATTTTCAACTTCATGTTGGAGGATTGTAGGTGCGATGAGAGACGACCATTGTTCACAAGGAGCATAGACATTAAAATAACACACAGTTAAGAATAAAATTGCTGAATATGTTAAACAGATTTTGCAGAAGACATGCTGGATCAAGATGAGTTTTCATAATGGAAAATGAAAATCCCTAGAATGAAAGGAGTTGAATGAGATTAGATCCATGGTAGATGCCGACGTTAAACGTTAAGCTACTATGAACACATTTCCGGCTTCTCAATGCGTAGGGAGTAAAAAGGTCACACTGCCCTTTGTATGGTAATATTTACTGATGACGTTTCAAGCACAATTTATTGCTCATAATCTTATCAAGGTATGATTATGATTGATTATGATTATGAGCAATAAACTGTTCTCGAAACGTCATCAGTAAATATTACTGTATAACACTGTGAGACTCTATCAAAATAAAATTGACCCATAATGGAATTACACTCTACCACAGTGCCCAAGTTTTATTCTTATATCAATGCCCTTTGTATACTTCTGTTTATTTTGTTAATGACTGTCACTGACAAGTCAGTTTTGATGTTGTAGTAGGTCCCGACAAGGTGTTCTATTTTGCCTCTTCTGATGGAACTAGTCTAACCTCTTCGCGGAGATACCAGGCATCGTTGCGTAATATATTTTGAAACGATATGTATAGAACGACCTATATGCCTCGCTCCATAACAGCTGCTTCAGTTTGTGGAGAACATAAAACCGGAGACAAAAAGTGAATTACAGCTCGGTGCCAAAAAGAATATTATACACGAACTTGGACTTCAGGGTAGACTCAGTAGCTGATATCCTAGGAAAGAATACCCCTCCCCAGCTCACCAAAGGAGATCCTAACAGTGATATTCTTTAGCCACATAGAGCTTTTAAGTTACTTCAAGGACCAACTCTGGCATACAATCACTCCATTATGCAAAATCTTTTATTATTTTGGTTTTTGTGCGCCTTGAGATGAATAGTCATGGATCATCACACCTAAATATCAAGTCAAAAATTATTCACACTTTTATAACTCAACTATTTTACCATGTAGAATTAAATAATTATAATTAAAACTATGCTAGTTTGTTTATGTGAATTATGGTTGTACAGGTACTGAGCTGTTTTCTCTCTCTCTCTCTCATGTCCTGATGAGTATTTTTCATGACCTCATACTGTGAGATAAGAACTGAAATGTCCTACAAGTTTTTCCATTAACAAAAATTACGATTTTAATGTAGCATATCTGTCCTTTTATTATGTTTAAGTAAACGACGAACGCTAGTAGACTTTGACTGTCATTAGAAATTTTGCAGAAATTAGAAATCCAATGGAATAATAATTTCAAAGGGTGCCTAAATGTTTCTGTTATCTGCATCTGCTTGTTATTCGAATAATACTTCGTAATCCCTTTTCGCTGTACATAAGCAACATTTCAGTTCACCAGGTGATTACATACAGATAGATTCAGCCACTTGGTATGCACTTCTTTTCTGGCTGTTACATGGTTCGACTTGGAAGAAGTAAGACAAAAGCAAACTTTCCTTTCGGTTTGTTTTCAACACTATATAAGTGATAATTAATTATTATTAATCCCTTAGGGTTTCGAGTGGAACATAGGGCTTCAACAACACATCTCCACTTTGTCCTATGTTCTGCCTATGTTCATCTGAGTCCACGATTTCCCATAATCTCTCATCTCCTCCTCGACACACGATCTCCTCTATGTCACCCTCACACCGACGACCCAATCATCGCTTCCCATTGGGGTTCCACTCGAGGGATGGACTGCATTGAAAGCGATGACATTCGATGACCTCCTCAACATATTCCCGATCAATCCATCCCTATTTTCTCTTACATATTTGTTGAGCAATCGGCTCTTGGTTGGTTTGTCCTCAGCTATAGTTTCTTGTTACTAGTGATTTCTGGTCATTTGATCTTCAGTATGGAGCCAGGGAAGCTGGCAGCTGCTAATAAAAGTCTGCAGCTTGTTGGAAATCTTTTTCGTGATGCGTCAAGTTATTGACCCATATAGAAGTAGCTTACTAGTCTTCTAGTCGGTCACGAATCAGGGTATAGAGGGAGGGTTTGGCGTGGGACTAGCGACCCTAAACCACAAAAGCTATCAAACTACTACAGAAACTTCAGCGCACAAGAAATATTTTAAAAATATTTAAAAAAATTGATAATTAATATATCCTTTGAAAACTAACGTGTGTAGAAACATCTCACACAGTATGTTTTTTGGAAAAACACAAGTTTCTTCATTAAATTACACAGAAATAAAAAGGGATTCTATAGTCAATAAACTAAATTTAAGAACAGAGGGTAGTAGAATATATGGAGTATTATACTTACGCTTTTGATATATTTGTTGAATTGTCATATTGAATAACGTTATAAAACAGATTCATACCCAGTAGAGCATAGAAGTAAAACGCTGACATAAGTATGCCTAGCACCGGGCTAAGATTTCTCGGAAGATCAGCTAAAACACTAACAACCAATCGTGACCACTTGAATAAATTCATCAGTCTTGCAGCACGTGATAGTAGCAGGATATTTGTCAGTCGAACAACATCCCAAATTGTCATGGTAAAGTGTGAGAAGTGATTACCACTTTGTGAAAGTATAAAAGAAAGTAATGAATGAATTAAGTTCACAGTTGTGACAAGAAAACACGAAGCCAAAACACCTAATTCAATTTTATGTTTTGTATTCAGTGACTGATGAGTAGTTTCCCGTGAAAATTGCTTGTGTCTATCATCATTTACGAAATGTAATATACTGGCTATATCTATCTATCTTTTACTATTAAAGATGACAACTATAAAGACGCCTAATTCGATTAATAAATAAGGGTTGTAACGATGTTCAGAATTCCGATGATGAGTGAATGCTTGTGCATTACTGTACAGTATAGTGACCTGCTTCTGTATAAGCTGTCTGCTCCTTGTCCCTAAAATCTAGAGGATTACAGACAAGTAAGCTAAACCTGCATACGTTATTCACGTCAATAATCAATAACTTTTTCTACCTCTCCCAACTTCATCATACTAGACGGTGTCATGACATGTGTAACAACATGCCCTACCTGCTTTACTCAACCAAGATTTACGACTTCATCAACAGATGAATTTCTGTTTTAATATGGCGATGAGTAATCACTTCTTTAAAGTATATTGCATGAGCACTTTAAACCAATTTTAGCTTAATTGTACTGACTTCATAGCTCTTGGTTTTCTCTGGAAGAACCTCTAGCCGGTATTTATTTTACAAACGTTGATTTTAGTTGAACAGATGAGTACAAATATGGAATGGCTAAAAATCAGTTAAAAAATTAGATTCTATCTTTTTATAACATCTCTTCTATAAACTTAAGTTCATGATGTCTTATTTTTTTATCATAATCGGTTTAGATTTATTTCATTTATACTTCTTAGTAAGTAACTGTCATAAGAACACAAGTTGGATGGACTGTGTACCCATGATGAGTACATGATAGGCATTGTTACTATTCTCTTGGGTTCTGAGTGAAACACAGGGCTTCAGCAGTACATCTCCATTTCAGCCTGTCCTCTACAGCCCTCATTAGCTCGCTCAACGATAGACCATAATCTCTAATGTTGCCTTCACACGATCACCTCGCCCTCAGCGCCCCCCCCCCCCACTTGACGTTCTCCATTCGGATTCTGTTCGAGGAGCCATATAGAGCGTGATATCACTCAACAGTCTCATAATCATGTATTCGATCCATTTTCATGTCCTCCCGAATATCTGCTGAGCAACAGGTTCTTGGTTGGTTTGCTCCAACACAGTTCCTAACTGCTTATTCTTTCTGGACATATGATCTTCCATATGGAATGTAGGCAGTTGTTGATAAAAGTCTACAATAACCTGTTGTAAATTCTATCGGTGACTTGCCGAGTCTCCGAACCATAATAAAAGAAATGGCTTGACATTGGTCTTGAAAATCCGAGTCTTGCTCCTCATGCTGAGTGCAGAAGATTTCCGTATTGATTTAGGAGTAATGAATTATAAATTAGCATCATATATATATATATATCCTTTTCGCATATAATCTATTCAGAGATAAGTATAATTGCACTGCGTATTACGCTGGATTTCTCATAGTTTACTTAGCTCAGTTTGCCACTGAACTGTCATCTGTTACTGAAACTGCATACATTTAAATCAGAATTTAGTGTGAATAAAGAGAGGATATAGGGTTTCTTTGTGCTGTCTCAAATGATAAATACACATATGCTCTTTTACATGTTTGTATGAAGCAAGTCTACCGTACAGTGAAGTGTAACCTTTAGATACTTTCGCCATAGTTAAGTTTCTGAGGCACTTCCGAACATTATAAACATGAAGTTGTACCAAGAAGTAGCAGATTTCAAGATTCCCGAACATAGTAAGTTGTTGCTCCGCTATAACAAACAGATTAGTTTTAAGCATTTCCACAGTTCTTGAAGATTGGCCACCATTACTAGTTTAAACTAAGCATCTTTGATTACTTCATTTCTAGGCAAGTATAAAAATACCAAGGTTATAATTTCCTTTTACGGTAACTGTAGACCTTGGTGGTGCACTCGACTCGCAACCACTTGGTGACACGTTTCCTGAGTTGACTTTTACACAGCCAAGTAGTATCAATAGTCATCACAAAATGGGTGTGGCTCATTGCCAACTGTATGTTGTTCTGAGTGGTTGCTAAGGTGAGAAGTATTGCATCTAAGACTAGAGTTAAACGCTGGACTTAATCTGTCCACTTCTCAAGATTTAATACTCACTTATAAATTTCAATAGAATCATAATTCACAACTAAAGTTAAATATGTATTCCATTTTACTTGTTGCATACTTGCATAAGTGAACAGTAGTCAGATAACACCGTGCACACATATAGCCTAGAAAATGAGACTAACGGTAAAATGCATCTAGAGAACATTATACACACACACACACTCACATTAGGTTACTGTACTTATTGCATGTTTTTTTTCAGTTTTAATCGATAAACGGCTAACAGCTGAAATAAGCAAACCTGAAAAAATGGTTAACACTATTCACACATATCTACAGAACACTTCAAAAAAACAACAACCTATGATAATACAATAGTAGTATAACAATGCACAGTGGGTGGCAGAATAATGCTTGTTTTTTTTAAAATACGAATTACTAGTGTGTGTGGGATATTCTAAAGTCTTCTTTAACTTGTGATCAAAAAGCTTTGTCTAAAATATGAACGAAAGATGTGTCTAAAAGAATACCAAGTGATGAAGATAATGATGATGGGAGATTTCTATCAGATCAATTACACTGTGGAATGCAGATTTTTTAAAACTAGAGAAGATTAGTAGTTCAGGGGGATGATTTTGGTGTAGTTGTGTTCTCTGACCTTGATTTTTTGTAACTGTAGAACTTTCCTTGTCCTCCTCAGAGCATACTTTAATTTGAAGTTTATTAGCCGTCTCTCCGAATAACATTAAACTCGATTTGTTGTTTTGATATATTTTCGCATCCTTTAGTCTGCTTGTGTTTATATTGATTGTTTCCTTGACCTGAAAGTTGATCTTCTCTTCATATGATTTGCTCTTTATGAATTGATTAGTCTTACCCATACCGATGTATCAGTTGGTTGTAGATTCACCTGAATACTAGGCTTCTAGGAATTCTCTAGCGTTTTTATTGTTTCCTCTGTCTAACATTTGAACATTGTTTCAGTCGAAATGATCTGCATGGTTGCCTTTTGATAGCCAATTTGCCTTCATATATGCGAAGATGAAGATAAATGTAATGTTTTTCACGGTCGTTGCAATTTATGTTGTAGATGCTATTGGTTTTGTCTTCCTTCTCTCTTGCATCTTACGGTTGATTTAGTACCGATCGAAGTGGTTTTTCTGATATGTTGACGACAACAATTCAAACTGTCTTGCAGAGATTTCAGAGATGTACATCGTGTATGACAGGACAATTTTCTTTGTGCTTTTATTGAATACTTATGATTTCTATAGTTTGGTTTGTAAGGGTTAGTTATATTTTTACGAGTTGATCACGGATTAATATCAGTCAGAGAACCATTGAAAACCAGGGAGTACTGGACAGCTGATGTTTCATCCTAGTTTGGGAATCATCGGCACCCACTGGGATTCGAACCCAGGACCTTCCGGTTACAAGGCAAGCTCGTATACCATTCAGCCACTGAGACTCGATTCAATGGCTCATGAATTCTAACTTCTATCAATGGGTGCGTACTGCCGATGATTCCCAAACTAGGATGAAACAGCAGCTGGTTTTCAATGGTTCTCTGACTGATATCAATCCGTGATCAACTCGTAAAAAAATAACTAACCCTTACAAATCAAACTATAGAAAATTAATCTGATGCTCGCTAGTGACTTGCTACAGGATGGAGTTTCCTGGAGTTCTAGTGAGAAGTCGTGACCAGTGAGGTCCAATTAGATGTCCCGTGTGTGGATGGATGTCCCACCAACGACAATGGTTTGGGTCATGCTAAAATCAGGAATTGGTAGATGTTAGAATTCATGAGCCATTGAATCGGGTCCCAGTGGCTGGATGTTATACGAGCTTGCCTTGTAACCGGAAGGTCATGAGTTCGAATCCCAGTGGGTGCGTACTGCCAATGATTCCCAAACTTATGATTTGGTTGTTTGTTTAATTCAATGGCATATTTAGTGACAGATTTCTAGGAGAGGCAATGAATAACATAGGTGTCGTAAAACATTAAAGTGATAATTGTGATATGCCATTGAACAATAATAAATCATAAATTGTGTTTGTTAAGTCATCTAGTTTGACTGAATGATATAGTTTGATTTTTAGAAAAATTAATATGGAATCTAAAATTGACTTAAAAATGATAAAATCTTGAAATTTTCAAAGATAATTACTTAAGACATAAGCTTATAAAATATACACTGACTGTCTGTGATTACTGTAACGTACACGGTATTTCAAAAGGAAGAAAATATAAAGTAGTTATTAAGAAATTATTATTATTAATGAATGACTGGGTGAGGGGTTATTTTGATTTGTCAGTTGATCATAAAATTTGTCACAGGATTTCATCATGAGCTGACATCGATTAGAGAACTATTGGAAAACCAACAGGGAGTACTGGATAGCTGTTTCCGTTGTCCTAGTTTGCTATTCTTTATCAGTACGAACTCACCACCAGGGTTCAAACCCCGGTCCTTCTAGTTACAAGGCAGTTACATGGGGTTCTAGTAGGAAGTCGTGACCAGTAGGGTACGACAGGTCAGATGTGAGGACAAGTACTCGCCACCGATGACATCGACTAGTGGTCGCGCTATGTCGTGAAGTGATAGAAGTTGGAATTCATGGGCTGGCCATTGGATCGGGTGTGGTCCCACAGGCCTAATGGTCTACGAGCTAGCTCGCCTCGTAACCAGTAGGTCCCGGTTCCGAACCCCATTGGGTGTGTACCACTGAAGAGTCCCGAACTAGGGCATGGGAAACAGCTGTCCAGTACTCCCTGCGGGTTTTCCGATAGTTCTCTAACCGATGTCAACTCATGATGAAATCCTATAACAAATCAATCAAATCCCTACAAACGAATACTTGAAAATCAAAACAAATGATTTAGCGAAGAGACTCTTTTCAACGAATTTATCATCAAGCTGTACAATCGTATATATATATGGTTTTTAAGAATTTATATCCGGTGAGGGAATTGAATCATAGGTGTGAATGCATAAAATAATAATAATATGAAATGCAATTAAAACTAAAATGTTGGTGATTATAATCGTAGTTAAATGTCAAGTGGCAAAGCAAATTAATGTCATATATAGAATAATTCATAGGATGGATAGAACTTGAAAAAGGTGTGCAATTATAAGATTAGTAGACAAATCGAATAAAATAAAAACGTTACGTAATATTGTGTGAAATTTAATAGCATAGAATTTAATGTTGCAAAAAGGAATATCATAAAATTATATTCACACACAATTACAGTGCATATTGCTCAAAAAAACTTACGATAAACTAGCCAGTAACAGTCCTAGTTCCGACAATTTGGCAATCTGAAATAAAGATGTAAACACTATATGTCCAGCATTATTGGCATACAGACTTCGACTAATGAATTACACACAATGATTCATTCGAAAGCATTTTTGCAAATGAAACCACAATGGCCTGATAAACTTTCTAACAAGAAGTCTGAAAATAATTACTCTTCAGAGTAAGTGAATTTTGCCTATCAGGTAAAGTAATCAAATGATTTCATTGGAACTAACAGACTTATTTGTTAGTTATCTTTTATTTTTCAGTATTCATTTCAAGCACTTCTTCCCGCATACTAGATTCTAGAAAACTTTCTTTAGGGAACGCTGATGGGAGTGATGTTCCCTCAATAGGACTGCGTGTATGTTGGAGACTGTGCATAGCACTGTTGACACTGAGGCAGACACATTTGAAGTTCGACAGTTTTCTTAATCTATAATGGTTCAAAATATGTTCCCAAAATACTCTTCTCTGTCTTTATAATGATCATTTTCCCCTTCGACATGATGGTATTACTGTTTACTTTCAATGGTATTTCAAATTGCCGTAACTTGCACTGTAGCCTTTCTGAACGAGATATTCAAACAATATATTTGTCTTACTGACTAAACACAAGGACAAGAGGTTTTCATTACCTCAAAGAAAATCTCTAAATCAACGTTAACTTACATAGTGTTCATTCATTTCAAGGGTAACCGTTTTCCCATGTATAGCTAGTAGGGAATGAGATCATGTATCACAAAGTTTTAACCCAATTCTCTTTTAATTATGTGTGTAGCGAAAGTGTAACTTATTTATACTTGATATTATGCTGTTCATATTCTCTACTTTTTTTACTGTCAATAAGCACGAATGCCCTTTTGGGAAGTTATTCTACTGATAAGATTTATCAATAGTATAAAAGAGACGTTCTTCGGCATGAAAATATTAAATAGCGGAGAAACAGATTTGAAGTCAAAAACAGGAAATGAACTAGCGTGGCGGCAAAATAGAGGAAATGCGAAAAGAAGACAAAGAAACACAATATGAAGGAAGGGTAGAGGTAGCACAACACGGGAGGTCTGTACAAATGACGATTTGCAGATAAGGTGTACATAATTTCAAACAATTAGTTCCCTTTATGAATTTAGATAAAGCAACAAGAAGACGTAATTTGTCTGAATCGTGTTGTAATGTATTTGTGCAACACATTTCGAACAATCTGATCACACACGGACTTGTCATAGGAATATATATGAAATAAATAAAGAGGTAAGAGGTGCGAAAGTAGACTTAGGTCAAGTTTAAAGGATATATTCAAGGTCAAAATAACAATGAAGACCACTAAACCAGTTAGCAGAGGTAATAGTACAACTGCTATGGTATTAAAACAAAATTTACCAAGGAAGGTTTAATGTGATGACGAATTGTTTTTGAACGCATAAAGATGGCTTAAACTTTCTAATTGCTAGGGCTTCCACAAACTTTAGGATACACCCCAAACAGGTCTAAGAGATCTGTTAACGTCAATTTTATGTCCTGCCTCTATGATATGTTTCGCAATAGAGGAGCTAGGTCTCCTGTTCTCACCATTAATCGGTTCTGAAGATTCCATTCGTTTCTGGAGCCATTTAGGAATATGCTCTGAAGCCAGCCCTTACTTGCAGAGATCGATGAGTCCTCCCTATGTATGTGTGTCCACACGTACATTCAAATTGGTAAATACAGTGGGATGTGACGTCATTTTTCGCATGTTCGAAGGGCTTAGATAGATATATTGGCTTTACATTCTCAATTGTTACGATATTAGCTGCATTAAAAGTCTTTTTAATAGCAGCGTTCCGTCTTTGTCTAGTTATCAAGCTGCTTTGATGCCCCACATAGGATAGCTTGATGTACACGTCTTTCTTAAGGGCGAGTTGTAGAGTGGGTCTTGGTGTTCAGACTACTTTATATCTCCTGATGAACTTGTCTGGATAATTATTATCAACCAGAGTTTGTGCCAACTTTCTTTCTTCTTCATCAAGTGTGTCTTCAGTACATATTCGTTGGCTTCTACTGAAGAGGCACCTTACTGAGGCTCTTTTGTACCAAACAAGGCAGAAACTGTGGTAATTAAGATACTGTTCTGTCCAGGTAGGTTTTCTATAAATAGATATTTTTACTGATCCATCAAGCCGTCGACTACGTAATATGTCTAGGAAAGATAAACAATTATCTTCCTCTTCTACAGATGTAAGTGATATGCTATTCTGAACTTCATTCATTCGATTTAAAATTCAGGTGGCAGAACAAGACTTATCACTGATGATTACAATATCATCTACATACCTTCTATAAAGTGGCACATTTTCGATTAAATCCTCCGATAAATTCTCAATATACGACATATAAATATCTGCTAAAAGAGGCCTAACGGACTTCCCATAGCAACACCATCAACGTGGCGGAAACAATCGCCTTCAGATGTAAACCTCACGTTGTTAGTACATAGAGGTAATAAATCCCTTAAATAAGATATAGGGAACGGGATGAAAAAATTGTTTGTGGAAATATAATCACACAAAATGTCAACTGTTTTGAGCAGCATTAGTGAATAACGAATTTACATCAAAAGAACACATATTCTTATTCATAATATTAATATCGTCAAGAAAATTAACCAATTCAAATGTATCTTTTAACACATACATACAAAACTGAAGAAATTTCATGTGGCATATTATTGATAATTCAGGTAAAATAAATGACGCATCGGTATGAAGAACAAGTAGCGTTTGTCTAACATTTTCGATATGTGACTTTGTAAGACGACCTATCTATAAAACGTGTTTGCGGCGTATCCTAAAGTTTGTGGAAGCCCTAGAAGTTAGAAAGTTTAAGCCACCTTTATGCGTTCAAAAACAATTCGTCATTAAATCATTTCGTTTTATAGAGATATCATATTCCAAGTAAACATTCCTTCAACAAGTCTCTCGTCTTCTACCGTTACACTGCTATTTTAAGATAACTCTAAGAATGGCATATATCTTTCAAAGTAGTAAAAAGATTGTAGTAAACATATACAGATAATTCACAGTGCTTCATTGGTGGATGGTGACTAGCAGTGGAATCCAGGATGCGCATTTCGTCCTATTTGGAACTCGTCAGTGCTGTTCAGGTTAACCGGATAGCAAATGCAGATTCAAATGAAACGCTAGTAGACAGTGAACATACTCATCAACTACTACATATTATATAACCAATGCTATAAGAGTTTACGTGTTCATACACATAGGAAACCATTTGTCGACCGAACATCGCTATTGTTCACTTTTGATAACGCTTGACAAGGACTGATTACAAGATGTTAGCAATAATAATAATAATTACACATAAATAAGTAGACAGTATAAACCATTTCAACTTACAAGCAAAATAACTACAATAGTAAATCCAAATATGTTGGACTTTTTCGAGAAAAATGATTTACGCCCATAGGCCCATAAAAGAGAACATTGTTCAAAGGAATAGAAGATAACAAAACACCAGCTTATTGTCTGAAAAATAAACGAAATCAATAATTAGTGTAGAATATTAAACAATGTATATCCAAAAAGAATTGTGAATATTTTCAATACTGTTATTCGTTGTCAGTAAGCCTCCAGTGACAATCCGGAGACATTCTTCCAGACATTTACAGTTTAGACAGATGAAGCTTAAAATACAACAGATTCTTAATCTGCTGGAATACAGGCATACACTCGTTAACGAACCGTTCACTATTTACAGTGCTAGGTCATGAAAATGACGCTAACTTCCCCCACCCGACTTTATACCTCGCTAGATCTTGTATTTATCAAGTAATCCGGAATATACGAAGCTCATTAAGGAGCCCCACTGTTTAACTCTGATTAAAATTTATGGAAAGAGGACCTTTTCACACCTGTTCAAGGAAACTGCGCATAGATGTTACTCTAAGGAGAATGTTCAGAATCTTAGGAGCATGCTCAAAGACACAAGGTGGGACTTGTTTAATGAAGACTCTCTTGAGGATACTATCTCTAACATTACATGTTATCTCAAATTGTGTCTTGACACCTGTTGTCCCAGAGAAACACTCTTCATCAGATTTGACCGTTTCTCCTCCCCACACCTAGAACAGCTTCATAGGGAAAAGGAAAAATTATATAAAATGAAGGATAACATTGTTGTGAAAAGAATTAACATCCTAATCAAGTTTGAAATGCAGAGGTTGAATTCAGTTTATAACCAGAAGTCCATATCCTGTAAAAACGCCTCTAATATATGGAAACTTTTCAAAGAAAGTATTCCTAATTCATCTGCTGTGTGTACCATAAATAAGTCTCTCATATTAAGTTTCTCTAGTGGTTTGAAAGATTTAGAGGTGTGGGGTTACTGGCCCCATGCCCAACCATCCCTCTCTACCCGGGCTTGCGACTGGCTAGAAAACTAGCGAGCTAGTTTCGCGAAGCTTTCTAGTGTCACAAGTGTTAAGTGAAGCTGCTTCCCTGGTTTCACTACAAATGACGTTCTTAAATGCCTACAGTCACTGAACCCTTCTAGTTACCCAGGTCCAGATTGTGTGTCTAGCGTCATTCTTAAAAAATGTGCAAATATCCTATGTTATCCTCTCACTGATATATTTAACGAATCTTTCTTCAGAAATGTAGTGTCAGACGTTTGCAAGGGCATTAAAACGGTACCTATACCTAAGTCATCTGCTAGAACATGTATCAAATTTACACCTATTGCTATAACCTTTCCATTTCTAAAAACTATGGAAAAGTTGCTCTTACTTAGTCTTGAACCTTCACTTACAACCTATAACGGTTCCAAACAATTCGCTTACAAATACAGTAGAAGTACTTTAGATGCAGCCACAGTCTTGCATCATAACATCGTCTTCAATTTAGACAAAGGGGCTAAATTTGTTCGCTGCACCTTCCTAGATTACACATCTGCTTTCGACTCAGTACCTGGGGATATTTTGTTAAATAAGCTTGCTGAATCTCAAACTGAGTGTTGGGTTGTCAATTGGCTGCATTCTTATTTCTCAGGTAGAAAGCAGTACACTGTATATCAGGGGAAGTCGTCCCCTTTATTGCTTACTGAGGCTGACGTCCATCAAGGTGCTGTTCTTTTTCCTTTTCTGTTTTCTTTCTTTTTTCATGACTTGCCTCACTCTGATGAAATGAACTTTGTTAAGCATACAGGCGATCTAACTGTTTCAGAGCCTGTTAACTTCCAGTTAGACTGTACTACAATACTGTGATGGTGTGATACAAACAATGTTTACCAACGGAATTGTATTCTCACATATTCCTACAGTTCAAGTTGTCAATAGCAATAGAATACAACATATGTATTTGAACATTCTATTTGATGTTACAGTCGGAATGTTATTCTCACAGTTCAATGCTGCCTACAATATATTTATTTGAACATGCTATTTGATGTTGGAAATAGAATACTTTCCACAGTTCAATACTGCATTAAGAACAAAATACTATGTATATTTGAACATTATATTTCTTGTCGTTTGATGTAAATCGAAATCACACGTATAAGACAGTATTGATAGCCGGATGACGTCTCAAGCACAGTTAATTGATCATAATCACATTTGTGTATTCATGCGGCCTGATAAATTGCCTTATATGCTTTCACTCCCGTCTGTTTTTATCACAGTTTTCCTCCATATATTGAAACCTCAGATTGTATCACTGTGTCTTATTTCAGAAAAGCTTATCTCGTATGGAATTGTAATCTACTAGTGTGCCTTAATTCTGCTCTTCCACAGTCTGTCTTTTCTGGCTGCTGCAATGTGCATTTACCAGTAAACCCTCCTCTTATGCAGCAAAGTTCATCACTTGTAGTCAATGAATGTTTTTTGCATGACTTCATTCACTCAGCTAATTATTATTTAATTTTTATTATTATTATTTATATTACTAAGAAAAATGATATAATTTACCAAATACCAAGCAATGATTGTAACGTCAGTTACACAGTTCAAACTAGTAAATCAGGGTCAAATAGATTATTTAGCTATACCTAGGATGATTGACCCTGCTGAGGTAAATAACCCAGAAAAAAGCTCAGCCATTGCACTGCACTGCATTCACTTGCATGTAACTACAAAATAGGATGGGACAGGGTGAGAGTATTAAAAAGCGAAATAGTTAAATGGAGAGAGAGAGATTAATCACTTAGTCTATGTCCATGGAATCAACACCAAACATGTGCTATCAAAATTACACAACGTCTATACTGAAGGTACGGATAATTTTACAATGAGTGATACAAGGGGAAGGAAGAAAAAACTACTTAAAGCCAGATGACTATCAGCAATAAACCATGGTGGAAGCCCTACGCAGTTATTAATTGTCTATCAATGTGTATTATATCACATGAACTTATCTAATAGGGAGTAGGACCATTTTATTTGACAAAAGCACATAGCGATTGAGTATTATTCACTGATGACGTTTCGAGTAGAGTTTGTTGCTCCTCATAATCATACCAAGGTGCTTGCTTACTGAACTCTTAAACTTCACTGATAGAATTTCGCCATTTCATATCTTTTGGTTTTATTGGTTGTAATAACTTTCATTTCACTGGTATCCTAATTGTGTTAGGTGCCTGGATTCGATAAACAAACATTCAGTGATCGACCTACCAATATTGCTTTCTAAAACTGTAGTAACTGAATCTGTGCCCCGCTGTTCATCGTGTTTGTGTGTGTGTGTCAGTGCTTGCACTGAGACTGCTTTTCCCTTAAACTATTCATCTTTGTGGAATCATTCATTCTACAATTAGCTTGATTCCTGTGTCCCGATAATCTTACTACCCGCAATCAACTGCTATGATCTATTTAGCTGACCGCATAGTCACTGTCATGTATTTAGTAGATGACATTATTGTCTAATTGGATCAATATCTTACACAGACTGTTTATAAGTGGATGAGTAGTTTTAAATGCCACCTTAATTCCTGTTTAATTAAAAATCCTACGTAGGGTTTCAGATGACCCTTCCTTTTAAAAATACAAACCCTAACATACATTCAGCAATATCATTACAACATGAGTAACATCCAATTAGATACTTGTATCCGTACTGAACAAACAAACAAAAATAGTTTAACATCCAAAGAAAAAAAGAAAACTACTCGTCACTTAAGCATAGACGATAACAAAAGTTCTTGTTGCAGACGATAACACTGCAAATTGTATATCTAAGCGGAGATAAGACAATTCGCACGGCAAATTATGAGTCACAGTAACGAGGCAATATAAAAGTACCACTCTTACGCGCATAGCGATACCAGGATACGCGCCAGTTGAAAGGCTGTAAGAGATATCCACCTGAAATGAAGAAAAAGTGAAAACGGTTTTTTTTTAAAAAACAGTCAACATAATGAGTAAAACAAAATGAGCATAGTTTTGAAAAATCGAGGGAAAAAATATATATTACTGGACTTCTGAACTAAGAAACAGATAACTTCAAGACGTCAATATAAAATTAAGGATGATTACCTTTCTGATGTGGTCGTGCTCTCCATGTGGTGGGGGAGGGGAGGTGGCTTAATTATAAAGCTTTTATTGTCTTGCCAGACGACATCTTCAGAGCAGACGTTTTAGTTAAATCGCTCAACTCAGAGAACACAACCCTACACCGAAATCATCCATCCATGTTAAGAATCTTCGCTAATTATTTAAAAGCTCATTACCTTTCATTAAAATTGATTGTCTTCATTATAATAAATGCTTATGTGTTTATCTAATCAACTTCATCAGTAACCATCAGCTGGCACCAATTGTATATGAACCATGATGTCCTAAGCTTACTGGGTTACTTAAAGGCAGAAATTCTTAGGAAAGTTCGAAGGGGTAAAAAAATACAGTAGAAAAAGTATTTATAGAAGACATAAAAAAGTGACTTCAGTACTGCAATTATCATTGTTATTATTAATGAGACTATTTATGAAATGCACTATTAACAATAAACTGAATAAAGATCACTGTGATTCAAGGTCATCTACACTTGTCTTACTTAATTTGCATAATTATTCGAACAAGTGCAGGTTTAGTAGAGAGAAAAAAGTGTTTATTACCAGTAAATAGAACGAATTTAGATAATGTTATTTTTTTTTAATGTGGCTGCTAAAGTATCATATGATTTATAACTTCGTTCATTTTATTCACACTCTTACTAGAGAATAATTGAATTCATGTAAAATTCTAGAGTGTTAGTGTTAGAGTTCACTTCGTTGATTGAGAGTTTACAATTACACACAGGGATGTAGTCCATTTACTGAACAGGACTAATGTTTTACAACACATTGCAATAAATATTTCCATGACTAAACCATAAAGTTTGATAAATTTAACTGTGCGTCGGTGGCACAGTGGTTAGGACTCTCGCCGACCATGTACATGGTCCGGGGTTCGATCCCCATATCTATGGTCGGCCTGCAAAATTTGGGCTACCGATATCCATGCTGAAAATTCCATACTTGTACTGAAAATACGGTGTGGCATCAAGCTATAATAAAAAATAAATATAAATAAATAAATCCTTGATGTATTTAACCAAGCTAGGCGAACAGGTTCTAGAAAGACTGTAAAAAGTTTAATTCTATAGAAAGAAAAGACTGAGCCTCAAAAACCGTTCACATGTGGTCTCGGTTCGATTCCAAGCTGAGGCACTCATGAACCTCGTCTAGTTTACTAGCCGATATTTAGCCTGGAAAAAAGGGAAGGTTGATCGTAAATCCAAGCTTGCTACTGAAACTTCATAGCTTGAAGCCCTGCATTCCAGTTGGAAAGCGAACTGACAAAGAAGACTGCTGAAGTGCTAAATAATACACTTCAAAAAGTAGTTTAATTTGTCTTGACTGTTTTGCATATTTCAAATTCATCATGAATAGGGAACTTAAATGGGCTGTTTTATTCCACAGCAAATTGTAGGCAGGTAAATGTTGCAATCCGAAAGTATTTACGGAAGACAACAAATAGTTATTGAACAAACAAACTACACTATCAGAAGCAGCATGGAAATACGATTAATTTCAAGGCTATAGCTATGCTAAGAATAGCTTGCTTCCATACTGTCATAGGTAAAGCAATCATGCAAAAGAATCAGCAACATTAAGTCATTAGTTATCATGACTCAAAAAGTTTATAGTAACGCAGATGTCTCCACCTTTTTGTCATTATCACAATTCGAAACATCTTCGCTACTGTTCGCATAATTAATATTTCTTCTCATCTCTTACTCTCTTGTTTATGCATTTTGAATCATCTAATCTTTGTTTCTCCCCTTTTTCTCCACTTATACATATATATATATGCTCAATAGAACTTTTACACTTCCTTAAAAAGCTTCTAGTTAATTTTTCACTCTATCACTGTAACGACCAGTTGAAGTACAATTAAAGAGGATATATGTTTACGTGTCTGGAGAATTAAAGCAATGTTCTGATATCGTCAAAAACATATTTTTCTAAGTCTTCTCTAAACTGTCATTAGATGATCGGAGGCAATCGGCAGAAACGCTTGGGCCTAGATTTCATGCTTGTTGGTACCTACCAGTCAGTAAGGCGTGTCTGCAAACTCCCAGTTATTCATAGCCGCTTTGGAGAACAGGAACTGCATCATTCAATGCTACTACAATCAGAGACATCATCACTGAACTATTCAGGCATGTAATTAACCTCCTGTAGGACTATAGTAGATAATTTTATTGAACACTAAGTAGCAACTAATGTCATACACCTAGTCTTTGGTGTAGACAGTATTCTGTTTAAGTAATAAACATGCTTGATGGCTAGTTATCATTCTGAAGTGTTGGTTGGCTACAGTCAACACGACCCATTGGACCTGTATGTCTGCCTTAAACGTGCTTAACACCCAAAAGTCCCTAGTTATGCGCTGACAAGTATTTATTTATGGTTTGCTGTGAAACGAGTGCTAAATGAATGTGTCTCATTTAATCATGAGCATTGTAATCGAAATATTAGTAAAGCCGACGTGAACACTGGATCAGTCACACATTTATCCAAAACTGTGTGCAGTAACTAAATTTTTAACTTCTGCCATTCCTAAATCACTTAAGCTATTAAGGTAATTGAGTGACATATTACCTCATTCAAATTCCAAATGATATTTTGCCACTAGTTCACATTGGCTCTTATTTAGGAATACAAATAAATAGGTCAAAGTATGAAAACGTTAGCTTAAGCGTAAATAGCCAGTTAGGTGGTCCTATATCTTATTTATTTATGCTTCCAGTGACGTAATAAGATGGTCAGTTTGACACTGAATGCATAAAACGGAATGTTTCTCTGTTCTACTGTATACTACCAATTAGGCAGTTGATTTTATGCCTAATGAATAATCAAAATCATTTGAATAACGAGCTTCCTGATTTTGACGCAGTGTTTACACTTACACCAGGTCACCAATCGGTGCTTAATGTCACAAGATTCATTATATATATATATATATATATATATATATATATATATATATATATAATAAAGCTGCTGAATAGGTCCAGGTCACTCCAAGGAATATTCTATTATCAGGTTTCAAATTTAACGTATCACTGAAGTGGAAATTCTCCAGTACAGGCTTTCAATGTCTCTCAGTAAATCACACTTCGTTTCCAGCCTAAGAGTGATATTTTCTTCTACAAAACTATTCGGCCAGCACGTGAAAGATGAGTTGTTGCGCTTGGTCACATCGGCATGCCCATACCAGTTCCCTTACTCTTATCGAGTTGAATACACTGACCGTGCCATGCATCCACTTGTAAAACGCGTATGGCAACACTATCCAGCCCAGCTAGCAAAATGAAAACCCAGGAGTGGTTGTAACTCTGGTCAATTCAGGAAACCTACTGAGAAGTAATATATCTAGGTAGAGAAAAAGGTCAATCACTGAAGCATTGTTTATCTATCCAGCACCGCATACGTGCAATTAGACTGACATAATCCCTATACTGGAGATAAAAGGTCGCGAAAAATACCCATTAATTTATGAGGATAAACACAGTTTTTTGTCCAGATAAGAAATATCCCTCTTCAACGGCTTCATTTTCAAGCCAATTGTACAGTCGTGTTTTTATATTACAGAAAAAGGAGACATTTATGTGGCACTAGAAATTGCTCAGTCAATATTGCACATATGATGAGAATAAAGATAATTCAAATCATGTACTAAAGGGGTAGAGTTGAAGTGGATGAATTACAAACCTTTTAAAGATTAGTATATAAGTGAACCGGTATAAATATTTTAAAATTGTTCGTCAGGTGTTGTCTAAAAAATTAAGAGTACAATGTTGCTAACAATAAAATAAAGTGCAAGAACATTACTACGACCAAGGTAGAGAAAAGGATTTGACAAAATGTTTTTGAATAAATAACTTTTGTCCGTGTATGGCTAGAGCTTCGGCGATGCATCAGTGGAGAAAGAGTAAGCTTTTGGAGTTACTGGATTTGGCCTTATAAATAACTTTGAAGGATAAATCACGTGGGACTGAATGACCTGACTCTAGAAGGTGTTCACAGATTGAAGATTTCATCGTCCTCTGATCACCTTTCATTAACCGAACCGGGTAGTGTTCAGCCACGTGTTTACGGAGAAGACGCTTACAACGTCCGATGTAGTCAGCTCCACACGAGCATGTGAATGAGTATGTGCAAATCGAGGTGGACATAAGCGGTAGTTTATCCTTAACACAGGTAAATACTAAGTGTAAGTCAGCTGCATAAAAACACCGTTTAATACATTTAGTACATCATTTTAATTATCTTTATTCTTATCATATGTGCAATATTGACTGAGTAATTTCTAGTGCCACATAATGCCTTCTTTTCCGTAATATAAATACGGCTGTACAGCTGGTTGAAAATGAAATCGTTGAAAAGAGATAAAAAAGAAAGTGGCAAAAAACAAATGGGGGAAGATGAAGAGACAGAGCAAGAGAGAAAATATATAAAAGATAAATTGTGAAACCATGGGACTAAATTGATATGATTATGAGCAACAATTTATGCTCGAGACGTCATCCAGTCGTTAATACTACATCACTGCGTGATATTTAAAGTAAACTTATCTAATATAAAACCGCAAAACAGTCGGTAGATGGCTGTATAAAAAATAGTGTTGTTGAATAAAATGTTTTGAAAACCGAACAAAATATTGAAAACGTTGTTCACTAGGGAACTTCTACCACGCCTTTTAAACACACACATACATACATACACAGAACCAATACAAATCAAACTTACGCACAAAAATATGACATTAAGGACTGAAACACCAATGCTGACCACTTCAAATCCTCTAGACATTATCCACTTTTGGAACAGTTGAGCGAAACGATTTGCAGGTAACTGCTGAAATGAGTGCTGAAACGAAAAAACAAGGTTTGAAAGATAAGAAAAAAAACATATATCTATTCTTTCTCCCCAATGAATTTTAACTAATTTCACAGTATTGACATTGATAAATTGGTAATATAATTTTAATTTATGTAACTGCATCATTCAAATGACAATGATAATTTGTCTTACTGTCCAGTCACTGATATGTGAAGTATGTTAGCCTGTAGTCAGGCCATATTTGGACAGAAAACAAGTGACCTTTATCGACCAATATGTCTTGATCAAAATTTAATTAAAGGTGAAGCGTTTCACTGTAGGCAGTGTTTGACAGTATGAGAATGTGTTTACGTCAATATTCAATTATTCTTATAACTAGATTTGATTACCAGCTAGTATTCAGTGATCTGAATGAATTAACTAGGAAATGTAAGACAAAAACATTTTGTACTTATCACACGGCATACCCTGAAACAGAAATACAAAATTCAATAGTACATTAAGCGAAATAAGTACACTTTACCGTGAGCTAAACAAAAACTTAAGCACCAGTGAACTTTCAGTTTTAAAATAACCTTACATGGATTTTTTCAAAATCTTTCACACACTTCTGAGAGAACACTAAGTAGCTTATTAAGCTATCAGTAAGATAAAAAAGAATTTCAAGTATTGGTCTACAGACGTTTGATCCGGCTTCAGTTTAAGAAACACTGGAAACCAAGGGCTGCTGAACAATTGTTTCGAATCAGTTCGAGAACCTTCATCAGTACACATATATGACCCGACCATCGGGGACAAAACTCAGGACACTCGGATTACTCGGAAAACCCGTTGACCAATCCGCCACTCCGACGAAATTCATTGACCTATCAGTTCTGATTTCTGTCAGTTTCAGGACATATAACGCAACCGCCAAGCAATGTCAGCGATAAGTGTCTATCCTCACATTCAACTTGGTGAAGCCCATTGGTCATAACTTCTCACTAGAACTTCATTTAGCTTGATCTAGTCACTAGTGAGTATTAGATTAATTTATATACAGTTCGTTTTTGTCTCTATAGGTAAGTACGATATGCGTTTATTGACTTTTTTCATCATCGCAAAATCTCCCAAATCATAAATAGTATTCGTAGTATTTCAGAGATGGGTCTATTTATTTTTGGCACTTAAATAAAAACAGAAAATGCTTTCTCTATCACTTCACTTTTAAATAACGTCTTAGTATCTATCTACTCCATATGATCAAAGGCAGCAAAGTACTGAGGGGTTACTTGAGCCGTGGTTTGTTTGCAACCAACGGAAGGCAAGCAATAATGCGAAAACATAACTGATGTTGCTTCCATTGTATGTAAAACTTTTATTTTGATAAATTCCCACAGTTTTATTCAGTTGTAATTACTGATGACCACATTTCGAGCACAATTCATTACTGCTCATAAGCATATCAAGGTACTCACACAACTTTCTAACTTCGTTTATATAATTCCACTACTTCTCATCTCTTCACTTGATTGGTAAGAGTATTTTCCATATTTCCGGTATGAGTGATGATTCATTCCTATTGCATGTGTTGGGTGTAGACTCGATGAACAAAGATTCAGTAATCAACCTCTCTCTCCACCTAACTATATTACACCTTAGAATTTTAACCCTCTCCCACCATATTGTATGGTTGTGTGGTAGGTAATGATGTTATACCACCCATATAGCGTAAGTGGAACCAATAGTTACCCATCAAGGGATGGATGTGTTGCGCAGCAAAAGACTTTGTCTTAACACATGACTAGAAAAAAAATAATGACGAAAAGAGCAGCCTCCCTTACACCGAATAGAACCACAGTGTTTTCAACATGTTAGGCGTGAGAAGATTGTTAAATTAAAGACGTCCCTTAATTAGTGAAGTTTCAGGCCTTCATACAAGCTTACCGATCATTCAGCCTCAAGCCGTAGGCTAACTGAGGTACCCATTCAATAAACGGTTTGAGAAGTGATTCTCTTTTGTGGCTTTTAAGTATGTTTGTAGTTTTGTTTTCTATTGGTCTTCTTATCACTTCTCATTTTTAATCTGTACATATGACATATAGGACAATATGAACTGTTACAAAGTTATGCTACATCATGTGTCGATAATCCCTTTGTCTAACTTAACACAAATTCGCTACTGTGGAATATCAAACACCATGTGCATAAATGATAATCAATGGTAATTTATACTGAATATCTTTGTTTAATTCATTCAGGTGAAAATAAACATTCAGTATATATATATTTATTCTTACGTAGTTCGGTGGGCCTAATAAATCCAGTGTTTGAAATAATTCCATAAATTGTTTCGCATCAAGATCAGACTGGTCAAATCTCACCATATACACCTGTTTTGGAATAAAATAAAATCAAAATTTGAAGAAAAAAAAGCCCAACTCTAATATAAACATTTGTATAAGTTGTTTACAACTACTGGTTTTCCAAAATTAAGTATTTATTAAACTTTTTTACTAATGCGTCCAGTCCTTAAGTTTGCAAGGTTTGTAAAATAGTCACCATACTAGGTGACTCGTCGTTGTCATGCACACTGATTTAATGCTAGATGATTGGAGGTAATCAGCAGGAAGCCTTGGACGGTGGATTAAACTTAAGCTATGTTACTTGACTAAATTCATCTACAAAAAATTACAGAACACCGAATTATAAAAGGAGACGTGTATCCCAGTTAAATGACTTTTGTGTTATCATGTTCTCTGAAATTAACGGTTTATAATTGCAAAAAGGTTTCACTGTGGCTCTCATCAGACAAAAAACTCAGTAGTGACTTCAAAATGAAATTTGCTTTTCTCAGTTGGAAAATTCTTTTCAGTTAAATACACCCAAATGCCTACTGAGAGGCTGATCATTGGGATAAGTGAACTTTACAGTATCATGCTTAGTTATATTCTAGCTTTACTGATTATATTTTTCAAGTCAAGCTAATACAATCAAAGTTTATGTTCATTTTGTTCAGCTTTTCAATGGATAGTTTACACTGAACTACCACAAGGTTTCAAGTTTGCCCACGGACTGATATAAGTTAGAGAACCACTGAAAACCGGGAAGTGTTGGACAGTTGTTTTATCCTACCTGAGACCTACAGGTTACAAGGCAAGGTCGACTGGTGTGTATCAAGCATGAGTCAAAAACTAGGACAAATATCAGTTCATGATCAAACCCGAGATAATTCAAATCCCTAGAAACTATCTCTTGGAAACCACAAGGTTAATTAACGAAGTCATTTGTAGTTAATCAATGTGGGTGTTTAATTCAGTTTGACTAACTGACTGTGATTTAACTATGAGTGATGAATTCTTTCTGTAAGCAGTGTAATTCCATATGATTTTAAAAGGTCTCTCTAAAATATAATAACTGCAATATTATAACTAGCTGCTTTTTCTTCACTAGATTCTTTAATCTCTGAATAAATAAGAAAGTTGAAGTTGAATAATATTGTCGACTTTTTCAAGCTATTATTTATCCTTTTACATAATTTAGAGGTTTTGCTGATACTACCAAGAGAGGTTCATGTAAATTATAAGTCTTTGAAGTGAGCAGTGTTGCAACCATTGGTATTATAACTCTGAGATCATTGAGGAGATTTACTCCACTCAGCAGAAGGAACAATGTCAGATGGCTAGAAATGACAAACGATAAGGGATTCTGTCCAACAAATTTGCGGAAGGAAATGGCGATGGATTGGACATACACAGAGAAGCCCACTGAATGACATCACTAGGGTTTATGTTTGTCAGTCCTCAAGAAGTAAGTTGAATTTCTTCAAGATTTCAGGTATGTTTTTGCATATATATGCCGATTAACACTTGACCCTCGGTTCAGGTTAGGTTTTCTTCCTGACGGATTCATTCAAACATGAAAACAAAACTTTATTATAAGATATGTCTAACAAGTGCTGTGTACATTGAATCGATAGCTTTCGATAAAAATCAAAGGCTGAACTGTCACACCGATTACCGTTTAGCAATAACTGCACTTACAAAAGTTTCTTGTATTACTAAAAGCAGATTACTTGGTTTTTTTTTGGATAAAAAGAAACAACTTACTTGACGTAATTCTCTTTTTTTCCAAGCGTCTATATGAACGGAGTCGATTAAATGAATTATGTCAGTACTGCAGACCATTTCCCTCCCACTGAATTCATTTGAAAAGTTTCATAAAATAAATTCAAAAACAATATTGCTAATGAACATATACAAAGTATAATGTCTTAAAAATACAATCGCTAATGGTTAAGTAAATAAGTAAGTAAGGTTAAACAGTGAACATGAATAGAGTCAGAGGAGAATCGAGCAAGATAAAATGACGTCAATAAATACATTTCGTTAGTTCTTTTCAACTGCTCTCTTCGTTCAAGTTTATCAGAGTAAATAACACACCGTGTGAAACAATAAAAAACTTAAATTTTTCTGCTCCTAGTAAATTAATGAAAATTCCAAAAATGAATTTTTCTAAACAGAGAGTGCTACGTTCCACATTAGTTTGTTTATTAGATATATCACACAGTGAAACAGTATTATTTACTGGATGACATTTCGAACAAAATTTATTGTTCATAATCATATCGCCAATTATAATCACACGACTTTGAAACTTGAGTTTTATAGTTTTCAGTCCAAAATATTTAGAGGGAACAATTGTTTTCAATAAATTCTTCTTCAGGCTCTACAACTATAAATCCATTAATTTAAGCATACAATAGCCACTCGCCAGTAAAGGCAAATTAAAATCATATCAGAAAGTGTATTGTGGAACAAGTATAAGATGGGATGGAACAATAGTCAGTTAGTTTTTTAATATGCATGGTCAATGAGAACATGGGACAAAATGAGATGAAGTAATTTAATTTAATGATGTGTGTATATATATAAATATAGTCAACAGAAAATACAGGTTTCGAGAGTGTGTGTGAGAGACAATGTGAAAATAAACCAACGAATGGGGTGGACTAGACATAAGTTCAAGATTGAAAATAACGACAATAAGAATGATTGTAAAATAATAACGATGATATGGGGTAAAATTACAAGCACTATTGGTGAATGATTGTCAAATAATAATAATGAATATAATGAAGTGGAATGAACAGGATTTTGTAAATATGATAGCAAGTTAGAAAAGCACTACTTAAACCTAAGGTAATAAAATCATAAGAAAGGTCATGAAATCATAAAAGTCGAAAATGAACGATTGTCAATGAAACAGAGGAATAGAAGAAGAAGAAAGAAAAGAAAAGAAAATTGTGAAAGGAATTTATAGTGTTAATGGAAGATTTGTTGGCTTTATTGTAGGCCAAGGTAAACATAGAGGTTGAACATACTTCTTCTGTATGCAAAGAGATGGTCTTCTGGTATTAATTGCCACCGCTTCAGCTACTGATAGAAGACGTAGTCGAGCTCCTCTAGATAAATTACTAGGAATGCAGTAAATAACTGAGAACGCCTGGTCAAGTTTTATAGGGTGTCCCGTATCTACCAAGTGGGCTAAGACTGCACTATTTACACATTTGGTTACTCCTTTACTCAACCATACAGGTACATGTTCACGCGCACGCATGGATAAAGCCCTCTGAGTACGGCCAATGTAACTAGCTCCACATGAGCAGTTGAATTCATAGATGCACATTGATGAGGCCATCTTTGGTAATTTATCCTTTACTTGCTGTGTGAGTACTGGTTTAGTTGAGAAGTTGAGTACCAGTTTAGCTGCAGGAAATGTTCTATCTACTGCTCTATTAAGTCGACATTTTAGAATGTCAGCTGCAATCTCCCCTTTGTAACTTAACTTAAGATACAAAGGTTTCTTTTCTATGGTATCCACCTTTATCTTGTCTGTAGGTATTGACATATACTTTTTTAGGAAGCTCTGTGGATATCCATTTTCTTGTAGTGTGAGTTTCAGTTTATGCATTTCTTCCTTAATGCATTCCTCTGAACATATACGTTTTATTCTATAGCTAAGACACTTAACTAAGTTTCTTTTGTACTGAATCGGTGCGAAGCTATGGAAATGGGTGTACTGACCCGTCCAAGTTTTCTTTCTAAATAGTTTCCTTTGTAGATATCCGTCTGTCTTCGTGGTAAGGAGGACGTCTAGGAAAGGTAAACTGTTATTGTCTTCTTCTTCACATGTAAACTGAATAGTTGGGTGAACACTATTAACAGCATTTAGAAGCTCTTGTTTATTAAGATTTATATCACAAACGATAAAGGTATCATCTACGTATCGACAATAATAGTCGAACCCTTTGATCGTGTCTTTAAGTTGACCGTTTTCAAGCTTTGCCAGGAAAATATCCGCTAGCATAAGCCCCAGAGGTGATCCCATGGCTACACCATCAACTTGTCTATAAAAACCATCATTGAACATAAACTGAACATTCATAGTGCATTTCAATAATAATTCTTTGACTTTTTCGGATGGGATTCCTGCATCCTTCTTTCTATCAGTTTTCTTTGTTCTCTCCTATTTGTCGTGGGGGTAGCAAAATTTTCGGGGACAGGTGATGAATCATTCTTATTACATGTATTTGCAGTTGATTCGATAAACAAAGCTTCTGTTATCAATCTCTCCCTATACCCTGTGACATTAGATTTTAAAACTGTCATCCTATCCCATCCTATTGTATGGTTGTGTGTGACTGCATGTAGTGCTGAATTATTCCGTAGATTTCTTATCTTATTTGGATCAACCAATCTACATTTTCCTAAGTTTGCTAGTAGAACAGGAGCAGTCAGACTAGCTGAACATAAAAAGTTAGCAAAATGTAGATTGGTTGATCCAAATAAGATAAGAAATCTACGGAATAATTCAGCACTACATGCAGTCACACACAACCATACAATAGGATGGGATAGGATGACAGTTTTAAAATCTAATGTCACAGGGTATAGGGAGAGATTGATAACAGAAGCTTTGTTTATCGAATCAACTGCAAATACATGTAATAAGAATGATTCATCACCTGTCCCCGAAAATTCTACTCCCCCTACGACAAATTGGAGAAAACAAAGAAAGCTATAAAACTCAAGTGTCAAAGTCGTGTGATTATAATTGGCGATATGATTATGAACAATAAATTTTGTTCGAAACCTTGTCATCCAGTAAATAATACTGTTTCACTGTGTGATATATCTAATAAACAAACTAATATGGAATTACTTACTACCACAGTGCCCAAGTTTTACACATATATTAATAAGAGAGTGGTACGCTCTAGAAAATAAGATTTATGTCCAATGATATCTCACAACTTCTGTAAGTTTAAAAATTATAAAATGAATAGATGAATGTCTACAACTGTTCCAAAGTTTGTTGTAAAACAAGTGATGAATAGACATCTAATGTTCAGATGCTGCCTAATGAATATGACTTCATCGGTTGTCTGTTCACAGGTTTTCACTGATCCACATTAGACTGGGAGATATATAAAGGTCCTGTTAATACAACTAGAGTGTCAAAAATATGTAAAAATATGTAGCCTACATTTTCAGCTGGTTAAACAATTTCACTAATACCTCGCCCCATTCTACACTGAAGACCAGATGGCCAGTGAGAAATGATAAGTGGCAAGGAGCTGTGGCAGCGAATCAGCTAACCACCTAATGTTTAACAAATAGGAGGGAGGATACAGAAATGTATGAATTGAATATACTCCGTGAAGACATCCAAGTGTTACCTCTCACCAGACCGTTAAGTGGAAGTGGAAAGCGCAGCGATGAGATGGAAGTAGCTGCGTGGATAACATGAAGAAAATAATTTGAAGAAGGAGAAGAAGCAGAGACTTGTAGGCAGTCGTGGAAACAGTTGAAAATTACTCCATAGAATCTACTGTAACGGAGATGTGTCTGTGAAGCCTTAATTTCCACTCAGAAGCCAAGGAATTATGAATTACAGTACAGTTTCCTTTATGTTTGCAATCTGATATCAGCAGTTTCATGACTCGCTTAGGCGAAATATTGTGGTAAAAATAAAATATATTCCCAATATGTACTGATCCTAGTTACCACAGGAATTTCCGTATATACTTCTTCGATCATGGAAAATACTAAAAATTCAGTTGCAGAGAAGAAAATTTTTTTCGACAAAGTCCTCAACTAGGCTGTACATTCATGTATTTATAGTATAAATGGGTGAGAAAGTTCCAAAACTTTTCCCGGTCAAATTAATGAAATTAGATACGACAAAAACTCTCCATATCACCTAACCGCGAAGTGGATGTCAGAGATTCTTGGACCAGTGATGGAAAAGCTGTTGTGATACAACTTCCGGGACACATTTGATTCACATTGGCAAATAAAATTTCATCACCCTAGATGCCGTCTCTCCCACTCTTTTCACCAGTGTTCCACTGACAGAAACTTCATGTTTTCTTCGTCAATCCTTTCAATCCAATACCACCAATGTTGGCCTACCAATTCATTAGCTAAACAAGCTGTTACTCCAATGCACTTCCAATGTCTACTTCAGATTCAACAACGAAACCTACGGGCAAATAGATGGCGTAGAAGTAGGTCATCTTCTAAGATCTCTCTCAGGCGCCTGTTTTATATCTAGCCTAGAAAACAATTTTGCAACACCAAATATCAACGGGCTCCATCTCTGAAAGAGATACATTGATGTGACTTTTATTATTTGTGACGAGAATTTGGATCTTGGGAACCTACTCCAAACCTTCACTAATGCCCATCCAAACATCTACTTTACTCCAGAAGTTGAATCCGACACAGTCTTCCATATCCTCTATGCTAAACTGCGAAGAAATGCTGACAACTCTCTGAGGAAATCCACATAAAAACGTTCACATGAAATGGACAGTTTATCAGTTTTCACAGTTACGTTTCATTAGGCAGAGAGAGGAATCTCATATGTGCTCTCTTCTCGAGGATCGGGAAAAGAAATGCATCCAACCATTGTCTCTACCATGACCATCAGAAACAGTCATTTAGCTCAAAAATGGTTATCCTATTACTTTGCTTATTTGAACTTCCTGTTTATTTTGTTATCTCTAATTTCACAAAAAAAAAACTCAATTTTCTCAGTAATTATCATCCTATCATGCTTTTTATCTGATCGTACTGTTTATTATTACAGTTTAATCCCTATCTGCAATTTCAATAATCTGACCGAAAAAATTTCAGGAACTTTCTTATCCATATATACTATAAAAATGCACGAATGTACAGTCTAGTTGATAACTTTGTCGAGAAGAAAATTTTCTTATTTGCCATAGTAATTTTAGTTTTCTGTACGTAGTTGAACACACCAGAGTTTTTACCCCATATGTACGTAATGTAACGTATCAATGTAGTCAACAGATTTGTGAGAAAAAAGAGATGAACAGATTTTCCCCCTAATTATAATCAGTTACTAAACCGTGGAACCGACAAACTGGTCGAAGTAGCAGCAAAGATAGGACTCCAGGTGAACATAGACAAGACGGAGGTTATGAAAATAACCAATCAACAACAACAACAGCAATATCCAGCACCAATCACCATCAACGGGAGGGATTTGAAAGAGGTTACTTCACTCACTTATCTACGGAGCATTGTCTCAACTACAGCAGGAACGGACGAGGATGTCAAATCGAGCGAGAATCGGGAAGGCGAGAAACACATTCATCGACTTGAAACCAATCTGGAAATCTTCGTCACTCAGCCTGCATCAACAACAAAATTCGGATTTTCAATACAAACGTCAAGTCAGTCAGTTCTTCTATACGGATCAGAAACTTGACAGGTAACGAAGAATATTTCCAACAGCCTGTTGCAGACCTTTATCAACAGCTGTCTTCGTTCCATGCTGAAGATTAGATGGCCGGAAAGAATCACAAACAAGAAGCTATGGGAACGAACAAAACAAGAAGCAATCGCTCAAGAAATATGCAAGAGAAAGTGGAGATGGATTGGACACTCGCTGAGGAGGCCACTGGGTGACATCGCGCGTCAAGCCATCGCTCGAGTGGAACCCGAAAGGGAAGCGGCGAGTGGGACGTCTAAGGGTGACATGGAGGAGATCGTGTGAAGAAGAGTTGAAACAGTATGGACTAAGATGGATGCAGGTGAAAAGTACAGCACAAGACAGGAGCAAGTGGAGACGTGCAGTTGAAGCCCTATATTCCACTAGGAACCCAAGGGAACAATAATAATTATAATAAACCGTGGAAAATGAGATAGGACTACACATTGAGTAACGAGCATAAATTAAATTCTCTGACCTATGCTTTCCAACTTATTTCGCTTCATGTTATAATGAAATGCATTGCACACAGCTTTAGGCAGAAGCCCTGGTCGGTTTAGTCCTCTAAGGTGAGTGTCAGTTTGTTATGTTGTCGGTGATGAATTCCATGAAAAATGAATAAACATGTGAACTAGGTAATATAACTATCAAAAGTCAATATTCTACTTTCGGCATATTTTGGTTCTTGATTTCAATTGACCGGTATTTGCCTAGTTACCAGATTTAAAACACTATCGTTATTTTGGAGACAAAAAATCATAATAATCGATTCGTTTACATATATGCGCTTGCATATTATAATATTGTCACATGCTAGCGAGTAATAAATTATACTTGAAACATCACCTAGTTAGCACAAGCTGTATCATTACACACTATGCTAAATGTAAATGCTAATTGAGCGCATGACTCAGACTGTCAATGATGATATTTTTGAACCTGCCCTCATGATTCACCAGGCATGGTTATATAGACCCAAGTAGGTTAAAAGCCAAAAAAGCTGCCGGCACAATAATAAATTGATCTAAGCTGTCATACTTTGCTATAGCCACAAATACTAAAGTGGCGAAAAAGAGAAAATGAAAAATTATATGAGATAAGTAATTTTCAACATCAGTTAGAGATCGCCGAAAATCAGGGAGCATTGGATGGCTGTTTTTCGTAGTTTGCGATTCCACCAGAGATTCAATCGCAACACTCATGCTACGAAGTCACGCTCGTTGACCAGTCAGCCACTTGGGCCGGAATTCAATAATCTGCGGATCTAACTTCTGTTATTTCATGATATAGCGCTACCAACAGCCTGTGCTGTAGACTGGGTTGTGAGTGAGCAATCCTAGAGTGTCTCGAACTTGGATGAAACATCTGTCTTGAGCTTCCTGGTTTTCCCTAATCTCCAACTGATGTTAGTTCTAGATAAAATCTGCCTTGATATCCCTAGACGAAGCCATCCATCACACACATGATAATCAGCACAGCAAGCAAATGTTTCTTATTTGCTTATATTTTGATATCTAGCTGTGTACCTATTCATATAGTTACTTTATCCTCTACTAAATTAGTTCTCAATACACTTCTCACTGAACAACACTTTCTAAATGATACTTCTACACTGGAATTATACGGTAGGTTTTTACAATTCCTACCTATGAAGAACAAATATATGATGGAAATGTCAGATTTTGATAGTTTTTTATCACAATGGAAAATAGTTAGTTCTACTAATTTGCAAACAATTCTCTCAAGATCAGTGAAGCAGAAAAGTTTCAATGGTTGTCAGTATAAGTAGTGAATCACAAGTAGGAGTGAGGAACAAGGAGTTTAAACTGCATTCCTTTAACTTCATTAGTGTGAAAATTTTTGTCAGCTACTCCCAGAGTGAAAGAAATTCTCCCAACACAACCCATCGTAACAGCTTTTACACATTAATAAGATAACGTGAAATATATATAAACTAGTTACAATATAAGTATTCTACTTTTTTGATTGGACACTAGTAACTAGTGTCACTTACTAGTGTAGTATATATGTCTAGTCCTTTCCTTGGTGCAGACTGAATTCTATCGCTCAAATTTGCAATGTAGCCATCATGCTGAGTGGCTAGCCATCATGATTCACTGTGAATTGTTGGTATTAGATGGTTGGAGACACCATTGCTGTAGTCAGAGACGTTACCACTGAACTATTTGGGCTCTCGATTGACTTCATGTGTCTAGTGTCCAATCAAAAATATCCAGCACAGTCCTAAAGCAGCTCATTCGCCAGCCGGAATGGCTCACTGGTAACGCCTCTGACTACAGTACCAGGTGACGCGAATTCGAATGTCAGAAGGGGCATGAGTTACTTCAAAGTTGCACATACGCCTTGCTAATGAGTGCCAACTAGCACGATTGACTCCAACCATCTAATACCGAGGCATTCTACTACATCACAAAATACAGTGAAGTGTCATTATTCCCGCCAATGTGTAATGAATGTGGTGTGTATGCTGACTTCTGTTAAATAATTGAAAATAAAACTTACTTATAATTGGATTTTAAAACTTCAAATGCTGCTCTTGTCGCCACCCGTCTCCTCATCAGACGCGTCTGCACAGAAGACTATCGATATAACAGACATTAATGATAAACAAAATAAACGCAATATTATGAAACATTTTATTAGCAAAAATTAGTAAAAAAAAGAACTGCCAATGATTGACGTATACGTTTTGGAGACAACGACTTGGTGAAAATTCATTTAACCCTAAAACGCATGGGAACACACCTAACCGGAATGATAGGATACCTCACTTATGTATATATATATATATATACATATATATATATATAAGTGAGAGAGTAACAGTCTTTCCTTGCAGTGAGTGAATCTCAACCTCTCCTTCTCAGTACAGTTTCAATGGATATGGAATAATTCGAAACAATTATGACAGAGAGCTCTAAACCTAGGCATACTGCCATTCACACCCAGTGCTATAGTAAAAGATATTATCAGGCAATCATTCGTGCAGCGATAGACTTCTTTTAATGCGCTGTTAATGTATCCATTGCCGTCCTATATGACACTGGTTTATGCCTTTATGTCGACTGTATCTCCCTACCATGCGAAAACATTTTTCAGATTACATTGTGTTAATTGTGATTTTTATGTAACTAGCTTTCAAAAGCCATTGACCCATAAGATTTATAACAAAAATCAGGACTTTTTATTTTTTCATGCTAAATTATTTCAATATTTACAGTCGCTAATTATTTGTTTGTGAGACGGTGGCACGGAGGTAGAATGCTCGCTAACCACGCGGGTGGTTCGGGTTTCTATCTCCGGCAGACGCATTCCTTTACCTTGCCAAACCAGTAGTAAAAGTGGTAAAGAGGGAAGGTTGGGCATGAGGCTGGTAACCTCATCTCGTAAAATTAAATACCATTGTTACCGAAACTTCAAAGCTGAAGCTTGTTTGAAGCCCTATGTTCCACTTGGGGGCGTAAAGGAATTTAAATAATTATTTTTTTAACAATGTATACCATCCATTTTTATCAACAACAAAAAATTTACATTTTAATTATAACACTAAAATTCCATATCAGCTCATCTCATATTAATTACTTACTAGCAAATAACCGCTAAATTCGCTGTACACAGCAGCTGTAAGGATATTCAGAAAGACGTACAACCCAACAGAAAGAAATACGACGGAGAAAATTGCTGTTCCCCTGTTAATATTATATGAAGGAATCAAAACTAGAAAGACAAGGGGGAAAGATTAGGCAAGGTGATAACAAAGCAATCGTTAATAACAAATGACTAGGTGAAAAAAGACAGGTGAGCAAAGAGATAAAAATAATCTCTATCGTAACTTCAGAAACCATTTTAAAACTATGGTGCAACTTTTGCCGAAATGTAACGCGTTTCCCTATTCTAAGTTCTGCTTATGAAAACCATACTGGTAAGTGTTCATAGGCGCGTTTATATAGTATCCTACTGGTTTGGCCAATATACTTAACTCCACAGCAGCAAACGAACTGGTAAGTGAACAATGAATTCGCCAACATCAAGATCCTGTTTTCATGATTTGGTGAACAAGAACATGTATGAAGAACGTGAGGAGTAGAGATGTAGTAAACAACGTTCTTCGAATTGCTACTGACAGGCAGCTTCGGAGAATCTCACTAATTAAACATTCGTTGAATTTCAGATTTCCAATTAGTAGTTTATTCGGCACTTCCAGGCTCTGGGGAGTATCTGTCTTCCTCTTTAGATGTTAGTCAATGAAGGAGGTTGGATATCCATTTTTGATTAGAGTTTTTTTGAAAGTTTTCAATTCCTTATTCAATGTATATTCAGTGTATATACTGTAGATTCTTGTCTCATTTGAAGGGATTAGATTTCCTTTTCAGCTCACTGGGACATAAATGTAAAAGTTTGTCAGTTGTCCATTCCATTTTCGCCTGTAATTTTCTATCTAATCGTATTTTAAACTGGACATCTAGAAGAGATAATTCACTGTCTGATCCCACTTCAGTTTTGAATTCGACGGAGCAATGAGTGTTGTTAAAGATTTTTAGGATTCTGTTTAGGTCTGTATTCTCATCGATCATGATAAACATATCATCTATATACTGCTTATAGGATTCCAACCATTCTAAATTTTTACCCATTGTTATTACTCATAGATTCATTGATTTACTAGCTGACAATAACCTTTGACCTCTGTTATCAGTTAACATTGCGTGTATAATCCCCCACCGCAAAGAACTGTGCAGCTTCGAAGTAAAGCTACAAAAAAAGGTCTCTTTGCTGTCTTCTTGATTACCTGAAATGAGAATTTTTCATACCTGGTAGTAGTGGAATGTTCAAATACTATTCCTGAAGTAGATTAAGGAAGGTGAGGCTCTTAATCATAAACCAAATATACACTCCAACATGAATAATGTTTCATAGGATGGTGGCAAATTTTTCTTATTTATGTGTGACTGCAGTAATGAGAAATGCGCAAGTCGAATGCTAACACACTGATTTATCGAATGCATTCATTAAATCTCAGTAGTCCACTGAATATTACCTCTCACTAATCACTTTCTCAAATCACTAATAATCAAAAAAGGATTTGATGTAAAACACTTATTATGTTGCACATACCGTCTGGATGATTAGCTGTCGTCAAAAGAACAAGAAGGTTAAACATTGTGGAATAAAAATCTGTGAATGATGATGATGTTACATTTGGTACCTAAAATGATAAACAACAGTGGGTTAAAACATTTAATAGAAATATATCATATTTACAAGAATATAGCAGTATTAGAACAAGACAGTATAAGCGGACAATATTGTTGTTTTCAGTTAGATCTTCTTCTTCTTCAGGCTTCACTCTAATTTACACAGATTTATACATACATACACCAGTGACGGTGATTTTGTGGACCAAATAATAATAATAACAACGTGGTTAATCTTCTGAACCCTTGGAAAATCTAGGAGTACTGGACAGCTGTTTTGTGCTAGTTTGGGACTCTTCAGTAGTACGCACCCACCGGGGTTTGGACCCAGAACTTGGTTACAAAGCGAGCTCGTAGTCTATTAAGTCACTGGAACCCAACCCGACCCAAATTGCCCATGAATTCTTACTTCTGCCAATTCATGAAACAGCTGTCCAGTACTCCCAAGCTTTCCAAAGGTTCTCTAATTGATGTCAGCTGATGAAGAAATCCTCCAACCAATCAAACAAAATCCCTACAAAACCAATACTTGAAAATCTTTTGAACGTCAGTAATAACGATGATTATAATGACGACAAAAATAATAGTTATAATAAGGCTTATGCATGTGGCGATAAGAATAACGAAGGTATCAGTAATATGTGTATGTGTAAACAATTCAATAAATAAATTAGGTCAAATCTTAAAAGTTACGTAATATTCAAGGTGAAGAAGACTAATAATCAGAGTTTAGATAAATATCATTGAAAAACGAAAGAAATGGAAAATAAGAAAAGGTGGGAGGGTTTTGAATAGAATTCACCTAGGCTAAGGGGGAGACAAAGGTAGGACAAGCTTCTTTTGTATGCAAAGATTAGGATTGTTCTTTCGAATTCCCATAGCTTCGGCTATGTGTAAAAGACGGGTTCGAATTCCACTCGGAAAGCTCGATGGAATGAGACAGATAACTTTGAAGGCACTACTTCTGTCCACTTGGTGACTGCTATCAATCAAATGAGTTTCAATAAAACTTCTTAGAGATTGTATTTGGCCTTCTCCGAACCATGAAGAGAGATGCTCATTATTACGTTTGTTGAGCTGTCTAGTTGTTCACCCTATATAGCTTTCTACACAGGAGCAACTAAACTTATAGATACATATCGAAGTGGCACAGCTAGGTAGCTTGTCTTTCACTTGAGTAATCATAATTGATTGACTGGAAAATGACAAACAAAGTGTGGCGGCAGTATAAGTCCCTATTATTGCTCTCGATAATCTTAGATGTAAAACTTCACTAGCCACATGCCCATCAAATTTCAATTTTAGGAACAGGTGTTTCCTCTTAACTGTGTTATCAGTTTCTCTTTATTATACATGGAGTTCATGTGTCCTCTCACAAATCTACTTGGATAATCCATTTGGACTAGCGTATTTTGGATGAGTCATCTATACAGACCCGTCTTGCTCTATTCGCGAGGCATCTGACCAAATTGATTTTGTATCGGATTTATACAAGACTGAGAAAATGTGTATATTGTCCTACAAATGTAGGTTTTCTCTAGACATCTCTTTTGAGTAAACCATCCTCTATTCTGCTTAATTGGACATCAAGGAAGTGTATTCTACCAGCATGTTCTTCACAAGTGAAAATGAGAGATGGATGTGCATCACTAAATTTTATTAACATTTCATTGCTGTCAGCTTTCTCATCAAGAATAATAAAAGTGTCATCAACATAAGGAAAATAAGAATCTATTTTATCTATTACTTGTTTCAATGGGCCATATTCAAGCTTAGCAAGAAAGAAGAATAGAACTTGTTCACTGCGGTAGAGTACAATTTCATTATGGGTAAAATTTATTTTGATAAATTCTCACAGTGTTATTGAGTAATATTTACTGATGACGTTTCGAGCACAATTTATTGCTCATAATCATATCAAGTTCTTGATATCGGTAACGAGCTGGTTGATTTTATATCTTTGGCCACAAAATCTGAGACCCAATGATAATGCTTTTAACTATAATTTATTTATTGTAACACTTGAAAAATTATGGATATACCGATAAGGGTCTGAAGGAAAATCCTTTTTAGGATTTTGACTGTCTAGTGACTTGATAAGTTTCATTCGCCATTTCTCTACTTTGTTTTGGCTAACTCTCTCGACATACTCAAGGAAATCAAGTAATGAATCCTCAGGAAATTCATCAAGCGCAAGTTTCCCTCGTGAAAATTTTCTTTCTATATCCGAAATGTGAATTTTTAGAGTCCAGTCGGTTAGGCGTATATCGTTCCAGGGATTGGGAATTTGGATAAACTTTATTACGGCGAAGAGATTTCCAGTAAATTTCAGGATATCGATTATTATGTAAACAGTCATTTATAAAATCCAAACATGTTTTCACTTCTATGAGTTTAACGTAGCCAAAACTATGGGAATTCGAGAGAAAAATTCTATTCTTTGCATACAAAATAACTTTTTTCTACCTTTGTTTCCCCCTTGGCCTAGGTAAAGTCTAATTAAAACCCTCCCATCTTCTCTTATTTTCCACTTCGTTTGTGTTTCAATGATATTTACCATTTAAGATCTGATCCACAAACTCACCGTCATTGGTTAAATTTTCTTTACATATAAATCTGTGTAAATTAGAGTGAAGCCTGAAGATCTAATTGAAAACAACAATATTGTTTGCTTAAATTATCTTGTTCTTATATTAATAATGGGAATATTTAAAGATTTGAAGTTACATCAGTCATCAAACAAATCTCTGAATCTTTTTTTGAACTAATAAGTACTATCCAGAAATGAAACAACCACCCCTTTCTAACCAGCTTAACCTAAATTGTCTGAAGTTAATGTGTTGAGTAATTGTTATAACTTGATTTCCACAGATACATTTCAGACACCGAATAAATTTTAAAAATCCCTTCAGTGAATAAGTTCCTTCTAGTGATTTCATTTTGCTAACACTTTAACACTGTAGACATACACAAGCTTTATTAGTGAGTATACTTCTGGACGATAGCGTTTATCATGGATAATACTTTTATCTAAAGGATATACTAATAGTCAAAGTTTGATAGGAATTAATTAAATTTAAAGTCATCACCTCAACTTGAATTCTTCCAGACTAAATTTACATCATGTTATGTTATTTCTTGAATGTTTTGCATTTTTAACATAATTTTTGTGAGTCGAAGTTTCTCTAGCAATTTTATAGCTTTTGTGGTGTAGAGTCGCTAGCACCACGCCCAACCCTCCCTCTTTACCCAAGCTGGGGACCGGCTAGAAAGCTAGCAAGCTAGTTAACTAGGAGATACTTCCTTCAAGTATCAAGGAAGCATTGTTTCAAATAAAGGAATTCGGAATGGACGAAGATGTCAAAGCCAGGCAGAATCGGAAAGGCAAGATCCGCATGCCTTCATCAACCCGAAACCAGTTTGGAAATCTTCTGCTGTCACTAAGCATAAAGAACAAGATTCGGATTTTCAACACAAATGTGAAATTAGTCAAGTAATGCTTCAGAAACTCGTCCAGCGTGTCACGAAAAGCATTTCCAGCAAGTTACAAACATTTATCAACAGCTGCCTTCTCTGGCTGGATACTGAAGACCGAATGGCCTACCAGAAAGAATTAGTAACAAGAAACTCTGACTGGTTACAAACCAACCAAGAGCCGACTGCTCAACAAATATGTAAGAGGAAATGGAGATGGATCGGGTAAACGTTGAGGAGACCGTCGAGTTAAATCGCGCTAATGCAGGCCATTACTCGACTGAAATCCGAATGGGAAGAGACGACGGTTCTTCGATGCGAAGGTGACATGGAGGAGATCGTTTGGCGAGGAGGAGATGAGAGATTTGGGTAATTGTGGACCCAGGTGAAGAGGATGACAGAAGATAGAAGAACGTGGAGGTGTGTTGTTGAAGACCTAAGTTCCCCTCGGAACCCAAGGGGATAATAATAATTATTATTATGTTATTTTTATCGGTGAAATCTCACGTTGCATAACATGTATATATATATATATATGTATATATGACGTATTTCTGTGAAATCGAATTGTCCTTGTCAACCCATTGTTCTCCACCTTTTCACTGTAGAATAAGGTAATGAAGCAGCTTGGTTATAATCGGCATTCGTTCAGGATTTTTATTGCTCTCAATATGGTTAATACACGCATCTTATTTCACCTGTATCAGTTTAGAATTAATTCACTGATCTTTAATAATAGCAAAATATTATTATTATAAAAACCCAATAGAAAATTGAATAGATGTTGTTAATTCCGGAGAATATGCATAAGGTGCTAAAGTGTTTGTGGAGTGAATTTTCATCAGAATAGGCACAGAAAGCATTAGCAGCTAACTTTATGTGCAGTCGGAATTTTTAAAAGTCGTCACGAAAATTGATCTGAAACGATGAAAACATCGACCCTGGAAGGGGAATAGAGTACAAGCGTTTTCACTGTACACAGACCGGTTGAATCTCCGCCTGAATGTTAAAATAATAAGAAATATAAATAAGTCAAATGCTGGCTGCCTCACTTTGCAGATAACTGTGAGAAAGAGGATTGCTGAAACTCCAAGGCCAGAGTTAATATGTTGAGTTAACAATGGAAGATAGTGTTCTTGAGTTGTTTTGAAACAAATGACTATTATTCTTATCCTGCATTTTAGGGAACCTTTTTAAAGCTCAGCTACTTAAGTCGGCAGGAATATCTTATTTTTCAGCATATCTAATGACGTCAGATGTGTACTTGGTCGAAATGGTTGATTGCTGCACTCTGAATACTCGCAACTGTCAAAACTATAGTCAAGTAATTTGCGATCTGCAATCAAGTCATCTTTTCCGGACAGACGATATATGCACATTGTTTTCTAAAGGTGTAAACGTTCTCAGTTACTTCTGCGAGCACTTTTCTCCAGTAACTTTGTTTCCCGGTGGTTCAGTGGTTCAATTTGATTCAATTAAAAGTGTATAAAATAGAACTACTTTTTTTAAAAATAAAAAACAATATAACTTACACTGACACCAGTTGTTAGATCGTGTTTTGGTTTAGAAAAAACACACATTGCTACGAGAGTCGCCGAAGCCAACCAAAATATAAGCAGAAATAAAAGGCTAAGTCAGGAGTTGCAGCCATGAGATACAGCGTCATATAAAAAAGAGCAAAACAGTTAAGAATATATATATATATATATATATATATGTATATATGTATATATATTATTTGATAATAACAAACAAATCTTATAAACAACCACATTTTTGATAGGATTATTTGAGATGACTTTTATGTGAATGAAAGGTGTTTAAAAAAAAGAAAACTTGAGTAGCAGCACGAGATTCTCTGTACGACAGTCAATTAACTACACCCCATCTTCCATAGTCCAAGTCGATCGAAACTGAGATGAGAATATGGTGTGACAAAGCTGGGGATGAACCAGTTAAATGTGCGAAAATTAGGTAAGCATTTGAAGGCTAAGGTAAAATAAGGGCTTGATAAGCGACTAAGTTCCAAAGCTCTAAGTCTGTGACTCAGAGTTCACTAGTCCCACTGCAGCCGAAACCCTCAAATGTTTCACAGGAGCTGAATTATTTTGAATAAATAGTGAACATTGCTAACGCCTAGAAACTGCAAACACTTTCAGATTCCGGTGCTCAAAAAAGGCATAAGAAGACTTTAAGATGACAGGTCTATGTGTGTGCATATGTCTCAAGTCAATAAGAAAGGAAATAAACCAGGTTTTATATGAATAGGATTTCATTAATCAGTTTAATACGTACTACAGTACATTGGTTATACGAATTGCTTCTTCTGAATTTCTGTTTTTACCGCGATCACGTGACGTACACTCCAGCTGTACAAGTCTGTAAGAGCGATAAAACTAAATAAAATAAAGAAACTGAATCTCCTCCGATTTTGTCATCCAAATAGTATTACAAAAGAATGAGACTATTTTGTGAAAATGATCACGAAAATTATAAACTACTAAAGAAAAGCATAAAAGAAGTCGAATAGCAATAAGATTGTATACTTGAGAAATTCAAGTCTAATTTTTCTGGTGATCTTCACTGTATCGGTAGATTTTCTATCTTGCTATATAAAACGTGACAAAATCTTGTCACCTGGTGCCTAATTTTTGTGATAGAAGAATACAACATTGAAGGTTATTGTGAGGCGGGAACCAGTTTCCATCAGTATAATGACAGTTAGAAAATTACAGCCATCCACAGCTACTCTCTTACCTACAACGTAGACCGGGAGAAGAAGAAGAAGACGAAAGAATTCTACAAACAACTGCAAACAGTAACAGACAACACTCCGAATAATGACATCAAAATCCTAATGGGCGACAACCAATACAAACCAGATTGGGAGCACACAACACAGGAAAAGAACTCATCATAAGTTGAGAGGCGCTTGGAGAAGTGAATCAGACAACTACACCTTCAGTGACTTGACGAATGGAGCTGGTGTTTATAAACACAAAGACATACACAAAGTGACATGGTTTCCAGCAGGTGGACACATCAGAAACTAGATAGACTTCATCTCAAAATCAAGAAAGTGGAGATGCAGTCTGATAGATACAAAATGGAGAAGAGCAGTAGGTGTAGCCTAAGACCACTATCTAGTACAAGGCAGCATCCAGGTAAATTTGAAATCCTTCGAAGCAACTGGAGACAGACCACAATTCAGGTTCAACACTCAGAAAATGAAGGACGAAACTGTAAAAGATATCTTCACCGCAACCACCACTGTTAAGTCGGAGGCGCTAATCAAAATAGCTGAGGAAGCCTAGATAGAGTAACGCTGAATCTATCTGTAAATGATACTAACGTAAACCTGTAATGCCACCTCAGGAAGAAGAGTCAATACAAGGAATGGATCTCTACGGATACATGAAAGTGAGTATGCGGGCGGGGATGGTGAAACAAAGGAAAAATCAGTCCAAAGACTATTAGAGAAAGAATAAGCTAATTTCAGTCTACAGCTCACTCAACAAAGAAGCGAAGAAGAGTGCTAGGAAAATGAAAAACAGTTGTGCGACAAACTGGGGACTAAAGCAGAACAGGCCAAATGAAAAACAGATCTCAAAACATTACACCAGACAGCCAGATCGGTATTCAAGAAGGGATCAACACAGAGGAAACCAATAAAAGATGGCTGAGGAAACCTAATCACCAAAGAGGAGAGATAAAGAAAAAGCGTACTGATCCGTTCAATGGAATCTTGAGTCATACGGAAATTTCACCAAAAGACAAAGAACTGTCAGTGAAAACCAGGTTTCCGACAAAAGCGGAAGTCTTGAGTGCTATAAAATTAGCGAAAGCCAGAAAAGTAGCGTGACTAGAAGCAATTACTCCGGAAGCCCTAAAAATGGATCCCGAGACCTAAGCAGATATAGTTGTGCTACTATAGCAGAAAGTTTGGATGGAAGAAAGGGTAAACACTAACTGGAAGAAAGGTTACCTTGCCAAAGTTCCTTAGTACGGCGGTTTAAATCTACTAACCTTCTCTAACGTCATTCAGCAGCTGTATGACGACACCACATGTTAAGCGATTTAAGACAGAAAGCTCATTTGGGGCTCTGAGTAAAACAGGACTCCATACTACCGTCAGTGATATTTCAGACTGTGGTGTGACAGACAATGGGAAGCGACAGCATGGGCATATGCTGAACCAACAAGAAGACGTTGGGAGATCTGGACTTGCTAGGGGTAAAGTAAGTGTAATATTTGACAAACTCGATTAAGTACAGGCGAAGACCAGCAATACGGCAGAAGTGGCAGCGAGCACAGTTCTTCAAGGGAATATATCGAAGATGGAGATGATGAAGATAACTAGCCAACAGCAATAAGGAGAAGCATCAACCACTATCAATGGGAGAATTCTGAAGGAGTAGCAGTATTTCAACTGGAAGCGGAACGGATGTGATTGTCAAAGCCAGCTAGGATCGAAAAAGCAAAACAGACCTTCATCAGTATGAAATCAGTTTGGAAGTCTTTCGCACTCAGTATAACGAACAACATCCGAATTTTAAACAGTAATGTCAAGTCAGTGATTCTTTATGGTTCAGAGACTTGGAGTGTCACCAGAAGAATTTTCAAGAGGCTGTGGAACTTCATCAACTGCTGCATTCTCTGGTTTGAAACTGAAGATCAGATGACCGGACAGAAAATATAGCAACAAGGAACCGTGGCATGCAGTGAATCAACCAAGGACCTTTAGTTCAACAAATATGCAGAAGGATTTAGAGGAAACTGTTGAGCGAACTGACGTGGAGTAAAAACTAACGCTTATGGGCAGTCATGGAGCCAGCTAAAACAACTGCAGGGAAGAAATTAAAACGCTGATGTGCAGCTGAAGCCTAATGCTGCACTCTGAGTCCAGAGGAACAATAATATTTACATGGTAAGTAACAGTTAGAATAATGATAGCAATAATGACAATAATAATCGAAAGACAGTTTGATATTATTTTCCTGTAGGCACGAGATCAAGAGCCATAGTCTAAATATGATTTAGAGGAGTTCAATCATACTATCTCTTACCAACAAATTGGTCATTTAGCACATCTGGTTGCGCAAATAGCTATTCAGGTTATACTCAGAGGACTTCACGCTTATGACCTTGCGAACAAGGACTGGTCTAGGAAAATGAAAAACTAAATTGATTCACAGAGCTATTTCGCCTCATTTGTTAGCCAGAGAACACCACAGCAAAATAGAAACTTTTACTATGATATGTCGAATATAGAGTAGTCTGCCTAAAAGCCCGTAATCACAGTTCTCATGCTTTAGAGAAGCTGGGAGAGTGTAGCTTAAGAATACTGCCTTGGTCTACAAGAAGACCCATAAAGATTTATTCATCCTCATGTCTTAATAGGTTTATCTGCGTCTTAATTACTCCTTTTCTACCCTGTTGCATACTTACAACGTAGTTTGCTTAGACTTTAACCTCATTGAAGTATAAAAACCAGTTGTTCAGTGCTAACAGAGTCATAACCAAAATTAACTACCCCTGCTGTTACATCTCATAAATTCAGTTACACATGCACATCTATCTACCTTAAGTCTGTTTCTGATACCATTCTATCTTTGGCTTTCGAGCAACTCATGGATTGAATTATTTTTTGTATTTTTAGGCATACAGCATGAAACTAAAATTATCATAGACAATTTTTCCTTCAAACATTTCTTGTTTCGGTAATAAATATAAAATACTTTATTATAATGAAGGTTTTTGTATTTCCCAATAAATGAAAAACAAAACGATATTGTTTTTACTAACGTTTCGCTATTTAATGCTAATAGCTTTATCAAAGTATTATTAAACCGGAATGCTGAGATTGTAAATTCCGGTTTAATAATACTTTGATAAGGCTATCAGCATTATATTTATATTTATATATTTTATATTTTGATTTACAGCTTGATTCCACACCGTATTTTCAGTACAAGTGTGGAATTTTCAGCATAGCGAAACGTCAGTAAAAACAATATCGTTTTGTTTTTCATTCATTGGGAAATACAAAAACCTTCATTATAATGAATATCATATACCCGATGCCCAAATTTTTTCAAACCGTTAAAAGTGAACCTGGTTCGGACGTATATATTTTTTACAACTTTTTTATTTTATTTTATTATAGCTTGATTCCACACAGTATTTTGGTACAAGTATGAAATTTTCAGCTTGTGATATCGGTAGCCTAAATTTAGCAGGCCGACCATAGATATCAGGTGTGCGTCGGCGAGGGATCGAACCTCGGACCATATGCATGGTCCTAACCGCTATGCCACCGAAGCACATAGAATACTTTAGATTCTCCAATAACTACAGTCAACTCTTGAAATAAGAACTAAGAAAATCTATTCGTTTCTTAGACTACTAAGCATAAATGAAGCAGAGATGAATCCATAGATCAAACGAAATAATTATAATAATGTTGTCAATAATAATTTCCGCTTACCTAAACAGTGTTGGTAGAGTCCTTTTGAAACACTTTATAACTTTCTTCATTAACTGTGAACCACTGATCAAAAAGTATGGCCGAATCAGTCGACGGATACGGTAAAACTGCGAGGAAAATATAACAAATATAATCATTCTAACAATAATTACATTCAGCGGTGAAATAAATATTATTTGATTTATATTAGGGAATGAAATCCTAAGGATGGCTATGGTGGTTAACTTGCATCGTAATAGCTGAATAGACTATTTGAAATCAAATTTATTCATTAGACTAGTGTTATTACTCCAGTGAAAATACTATAATGGCCATAAGTTACCAGATTAGTGATCAACTGCCTAGTGTATTTAGGACTTTGTCTTAACTTCTGTCATCTCATTTCCTTGTAACAACGACGATGTCGAAGGAGAAGTAAGGAATGCTCATGACTAGAAGAGGTAGATTTTGATCCCCAATTAATGCAGCTAGTTTTCTGAAATATACGAAAATAATGGAGTCCACTAAAACTTTTTTGTTGAAGTCCAAATTTTTTCCAGACAAAATAAGTTGATTTATTAACGAAGTCTTTGATCTGATAATAATCGACTAATATTAGAGAACGATAATAAGCAAGTGTAAAAGCAGCGGGAGAAAGTGTTGAGGAAAATTTCCGAGTTGTTTTGAACTGCTTTACCTTCTGAGGCAAAAGTTAAAGTAAAACAGTAATACATTACTATCCGTCAGAACTCTGACTTACTAGCTTATTACACAAAAATGTATCAAAAGCAGACGAAAATATCCTTACTAATGGTAACAAAGTCTTTCCTGTACAGTGTGATTTATATTCATTTCTCAAAAGTGAAATTCATGTCTAGTTTTACATCCACGCACCCCAGCGAATGCGTGGTGATTAGGAATCCAAAATTGGGATGAAACAGCCATCAAGTGCTCCTGGGTTTTCCAGTGGACCTCTAACCGATGTCAGCTTATGATGAAACCCTGTAACCAATCACATCCCTGAAAACCAACAACTGAGTATCCTTTGAGTGATAAGACAACAGACTGGTTCAGCTAGAAGTTATAGTTAATAACGAATTATTTGTAGTTGTTAGTATTATCATATACGCAGTTACTGATAAAGACTCAAAAAAGTGGTAAAATAAGATTCTCATAAATTTGGCGTGGTACTGAAATGCTTACATCTACTCCTTACCACTGTTCCATTCGAAGCAGTATTATCTGTTTGCGTATACCAATAAAGTATTAGAGATCACGAATATATTTAGTCTATACAGGGGTTTCACGTTTTATTCTCCATACATTAGACATTTGTCATGTAGATCACCACTCTGTGAGTTGCTAAGTATAAAGCTTAAGTGATAATTAATCTTGTGATTTATAAATGCAGATACTTCTGCCATAAAAAGTGTAAAGTAGACAACAGTTGATCATTTTCACAAGGTGGTTAAATTTACTAATCACAAATGTGAAGCATTACGAGCATTACAGAGGGAATTTTATTTCTTCCACCATTATGTTGCACTGTATCGTAAGATAAGCCGAATATTCGACTGAAATTTAGTGAGGTAGCTGTGATCAATACATCGAAAAGAAATTCTCTACATAATATGTACGCTTTAAGGCAGCAGTTTATAAGGCAGTAAATTAGAGCATGTTATATATGTATATATATTGTAGATGCTAACCTCAGAACACCGAAGAGATAATGAAACCAAAAGATCCAGCAAATAGACAACGAATAAAATATACTTTCCTATTAGCCATGGATTTGATCGAACCCAAGAACGTCCAAATGCAACAGACTAAAAAACAAAAAGTCAAGCAGTTCGTTTTTTGAGAGCTAATTAAATATGTTGGTAAAGTATGCCATCGAAAATATTTTTTTAGATATTGATATGAATCTTGCACGATAAAACATTGCAGTTATTTCTATGTTTATGTAAGCAGTCATGGCAATTATAGAGATTATTAGTGATAAATGTGAAATTTTGGTTTAAAACTCTTGTTAAATAAGAGAAGTTTGAAGCTTTTAGCTTAAACATGACCTTTTAATTACTGCCTAATTACGGCAGCATATTGAATTGGAGCCAAGCAAATAGTATTATGTGCATGGTAAAGTACAAACACGGTTGGTGACGAATTATTTCTATTAGTTCCTAATTGTACTGAGTACGAGTAATTAAAATAAACTGCATGTATTATTAATTGATTTTCGTAGGAATAAACAAACACGTTTTCCTAAAAGAAGTATATTTCTGACCCAATGCTATATATATATATATATATATATATATATTGGAGGTAACCAGAAAAACGTATTCCATTGAAAATGTCTGATGAAGTTAATTGAGCACCGTGAAACATAAGGTGGAACGAATTTTAAAATATTTATAGATAAACAGGTAAGAGTCAAGAAAACTAATTGGCTGTATTTAGGATCTATAAATCAAAATCACCCAAATGAGTTGTAAATCTCCTCCATTATTTCAAAGATGAATGTGGAACATTAATTCATTCTTGTTTGGAAGAAAGTTCCAAAGTCAAATACAGTTCACTCTCATAAATTTAATGCACTAGGAGGCAACCTAAAATGTTATTGTCTTCCCTCATCCATGGCTTATACCAAATGAAAATGAAAGTTTCGGGAACCAAGACTTTTATTCCAGCTACTTTTGCAACAGTGCTTGCTTGTAACGGAACAATCAAGTGCAGAATTTTTCAGGTGGGCTACACGCTTTAAGAGGTAAGATAACTCTCGTCAACGAGCAGAAGTTGCCTGGCAGCTATTATCTGCATGTGCGATGGTAATAACAGACATTAAAAAAGTTCAAGGGCAATAGCGTACGAAACTATGTCAAAATACCGAGTTGTAGACTTTTTAAATGACAAAACTATAGATATTTTGTAAGTAGCAGAAAATTTACAGCTCTTGTATTGCATTTCAAAGTTTCTGTATTATTTGCCAGTACTTTTAATTCTTTTGTTTGTATATAATTTCGAAAAATGTTATATATATATTCAGGATTATAACAACTCAGGGTTGGCAAACTTCCGATAGTTTTTCAGTAGCAAAACCTAATTTTAAGTGACAACATAGGCTTTTGTCAAATGAGTGATTTTCGAAAACAGGAAATAAAATTGCACATTCAAACGTAGCAGAATGATGGTTAAATACTTACCAGCATTAAAGACTGAACTACTAGAACCACCAAACACATCAGTTCTATGGCTTCTGTTAATCCACACGGAGGATTCGGAAGTTTTAATCTCAGTCTTACATCTGCTGACTTAGTAAGAGATGATGGCCATTCAAAAAAGGGAAGCAAAAACATAACAACCAAAGATGTTCGGTAAACCACATTGACACACATACTGTGTGAGAGGTCATACATGCGCAGACTACGCTTATCAAGTTTATGTTGTATGGAACGGTACTAAATTTTACTGAAATTCGATAATGAGTCTTACGTTTTCTGCATCCTCTATAAGTACCCTAGCTTGTTTTTGAATGAAATCTAAGAAATTTAGACTAGGGTAACCTCACATTACTTTCCAAAACATATGATTTACTACTGTGAAAGCTAAACATTCTCATAATCACCTCCGCGATATCAAGTGTTGCATTTTAATAATCAGCTCAAGGTCGTAAAGCGTATTCCAATTACAGTATTCAACGTGCTTTTTATAAGCCAATATCTAATATCGTTTATACGAGCTAGTATGAACTAATTCGATTTCTTTGTGTTCTTTTCTTGATTGCGAGGTAAAGTTTCCTCGTTTTCGGTAAACTTCTGCGTAGTTCGTTCCGCCACTCGATTGCCATAGCTTTAGTTGACTCCAGAAGGAGTAGTGCTGGGATTAATTATATGTTGTTTGTAGTATACGATGTGTTAAGACTAGTGTGAATGGAGTTGCCCCTTTCACCAGTTAGTCTTCCAGTGTCGTCGTCAAAAGAAAAGAGATAATGATAATAACATATGTAATTAGTGTAGGTTATTCAGACTAAAAAACAGAAAAAGATATAAGGTAAAACGTAAAGACAGATAGCTAATTAAATTAGAGGTTGATATATGTATATACATATTTAAATATATAAATGCATATAATATCAATAATAATAGTAAGGGTAACTGTAGTAGTTGGAGTAGTCAAGAGAGTGTAGAGGTAGGTTATTCCCCAGAATTATTGGCCGCAGCATTCATCACTGAACATTGGATGCTGACACTCACTGTTCAAGTCAACCTGTTCAGCTGAAGGCTTCCGGTAAAGCAACCAAGCTATTTGGGACGCCGTCGTGTCACGTTCGTTCTTTCGTGCACTATCCCTAGCTAGTTAAGCAATTATCTCGCACTCCGATTTAGTCCGGAAATATAACTCGTAATTTGGATGGTTAATTCTGGTGTTTTGCTTTGCCTTTGGACTAAGCGGAACGAATACTATAGAAGTTGTGGGTATTAGATCTTGCGTTAGTACACTTTGTACGATCCGTGAACGTCAATACCTTTAGCCTCCAAAAGAATATGACATGAAAGAATATAAAGAAGTAACATGATGTATTTAGATGTCTACTCTTTATTGGTGTATGAGATTTTAAGGAGATAGGCCGTTTGAACTCAGTCCTTGTATCACTGCATGATGGTACAGTCTTCGCTCAAGGCGGTCCACAGACGGTACAGCAGCTACATCTGCCGGTAAGGAGTACAGGGACGGCAAACTCGCTGTGGAAAGAAGTGGGAGCCACTGGAGTCTTGACCTCTGCCTACCTATCATTCTGGGATTCACACGAGGAAGGCTATACGTACTAAGTGGCAGAACACCTTTGTTTGGAGATTCTGGTCATCTGTAATCTCATAAGCAATAATCAAGTTCCTCCTAAGCAGATGGTGGCTAAGTGTGAAGAGATCTAATTTTGCTGTTATTTAAATGGTATGTTTCGAAGACCCCGTCATTACTTTATCGCCCCTCTTTGGACTCTTTCCAAAGGGCTTGCATCCCTTCTAAACAGTTGGGGTGCATTGGTATTGTGCATTTCAAGGTGTGAACCGGCGTATGTTTTGTACAGCTTTAGAAAGAGCTTAGGAGTGGGTGCACTTAACTGTCTATCTGTAAGTGTATGACCGCATATTCCCTTGCCACATTCCCGTGTAACTCACGCTTGTGTTCATTTCTTCTGATAGAACCAGAACTGAGTCACGCTCCAACGTTGTGCAGGACAATCTCTCGTTGTGCAGGATGTAACTTGCATTCTCCAACCTACTGTATCAGGTTGAAAGTCATACCATTGGCCGTCGCCCATTCTTCCAGATACTTTAGCTCGTCCTGCAGCCTGTCTGACTGTTTCGGGCACTTTAAGGCTTCCCAAATCTTTATGTTGCCAGCGTAAAGAAGAGTCTGGCAGCTAAGATGGAGTGTTTTCCCTATCCAAGCTTCATAGCTTTTCCAAGCGTTCCGAAATTCTGAAGACTTCTAGGGCAGAAACCCATCCTCACGACTTTTTCATCTCTTCTGTAAACAGAATTGGATAAAGTTATTTCAAAATGGATCTATTATTTGTATTAGGGTGATGACTCTCTAATGATTTGCAAATCTCATTTCCTCGGACAGTCTTTCAGGCAGGTAGAAAATACACAGCAAAATGTGGTATTCAGAGAACAGAAAGGAAAATACATATTGAATAAACAAAATAAATAGAAGATAAACCAAGAAGACTGAACACAAGGTGGGTCCCACAAAAAATATGATCATGAATACCAGGAAATAGACTAACGCGGAGATAAAATATTGGTGCAGAATAAGTCGCTTAGTACAAATTTTTTAAAGCGGTTGCGATAACCGTAGCATTCGTACATATACTGCATCAGAACAAAACTGAGAGCATTATGTTCTCTAAATTTTCATTAATCTTCCGTAGCCCATTATTTATTCAACATATAAAGTCAACCCCACAGCGATAACCAGGGAAATCTCACAAGGAAACAAATTGCGAACTCATAATTTGTCATCACAAGCCTATGAGGAAATCCGCATGCGACAAAAAGGGTAGTACCCATCATGTCACAGTTTACATGCCGTGCAGTAGTTTTCATCCTACAGTCAGGTATTCCACACCTCTGTTAGGAATATGCTTATACAGATCTAAATTTTTGAGTCCAGCATTTAGACCAGGTGATGGTCTATTTGTTATTGTTTGTACATTCCTCAGGAGATTAGTTCCCTTTTTTGAAGTAGTGGTGCCGCAACCTCATGAACGTGTTTTGCACAACCATGCTGAAAACTTGTGTGTACTTTCTCCCACCCTCCTAAAGACGAATTAGAAAAGTGCGGTCGCCTAGAATGAATTTTCTGTTCACTTAACTTCTCTGTAGAACTGGAGCAAGATCTTATTCCGTCTCGTACTGAGATACGCAGGTTCCACATGAGGAATAGGAAATTATTTGTCTTACAGACGCAAGGATAAAACTCTCCGATATTCCTTGAAATTCAATGCTTGTGCGACTGCTGTGGCTGAGTTCTTCAAGTTGGTTAAGTCATCATGTAACGCAAGCCCAAACTTGAGGGTTTTGTTACCAGTTTCCTATATGGCTGTAATGTTCTTTTGTCACCACTGATATTCCTGTTTTGACGATTTCACAGAGCTCGGAATGTGTTAAAGTCTGACTGAGATTTCAACAGTTCATTGTACCAGACCCTCTTTTTGGTTTCGTTAAACGCTGCGTGTACCTTTCCAGTCAGTGAGTTCTGTCTTGCGGATTTGTCCTCAGGGCAAGATTACTGGTAGCTTTCTTCACTTCTTCCATTTCTAGTTCTGATAGACTGTCGATGAGTGATACTGCTTGGTCAAAAAAGCTGACACAGGAAATTTTATGATCTCTGAAACTTTGATTATGCCATATTGCTATAGGAGAGCGCATTGGAACAATCAAGCTAGAAAACAATAATCGGATGGAGCAGAACGTTGGACATCAGTGTACATGAGTAACAAGATCCTACTGAATTAAGCTGCACGCGTGTCGGCCAACATACTTTTGGTGTCACGTTGTAGCTTGCAGCATTATATTCCTGCTTTTCAGGGTGTGTCAATCCCCAACACCGCGGCAATACACAAAGACTGAGTTTTCGAAGTAGGTGAAGTTGTCACAGACGAGGAATTACACCAGGTTATGTCTCCGCTGACCTTCATGTCAACAGTAAGGGAGCTATGATGAATACCCATCGAATGAGCTTCGTAATACTTGTGCCAAATAAATTCACGAGTGGCCACAAAGCTCTAGAGAGTGTGCAAGAAAACCATCATTTGTCCCGTTATTAGGGACCGGTCAACACAAGTCAAATCTTCTCTTCAGCTCATGAGGTTGCCGCACCAATACCTACAAAAGGGAACTAATCTCTTGAGGAATGTATAAACGATAACAAATAGACCATCACCTGGTCTAAACGCTGGACTCAAAAATTTAGATCTGTATAAGCATATTCCTAACAGAGGTGTGGAATACCTGACTGTATTACAAAATCTATAACGTGTGTCTTGACAGTGAAGGATACCAACACAACGTATTGTGAAGCTATATGAACCTCACGTCCTAGGAATTAGTCTGAATTATTTTCAAGCCTTAAAGTTAGGAATCCTGTGTATTAGAGGACTAGCCAGTTTTATAGCATTAGCCTAGAAAATTTCGGTGTTCGCTCTAATAAGATAGCTTATAGTTATCGTTTTGTATAACGCTTGAATAAGACATGGATTTCTGAACCTTGACATTCAAGGGTTCCCAGGTTATTCAGTTACTTGGCAGGTTGTGAAACATGTGGGCTAGGCAGTCTTTCCACTGCGTCTCCGACTTCTCAATTTAAGTCGTTTTTTCCATTCAACCTATGAGGCGGAACAAACTGTCTAATTAAAATAGCTCACGTAAGCGCATAGTTTTCTCACAGGAAAATACAGTCTTTGGAGCATGAATGGGTAGATATTGACGTCCTTCTGTCTATTATATCTGGTTAAACATATAAATTATAGCTAGTCCTAATGTTAATTTAAACTGGGGTTTTAACTGTACAGAAATTAAAGACGAATCTTCCATCTCTATTTACAAACCGAGTAAACATCATCTAAACCGATAATAATTCAGTTGTCCGAAACCAGATTTCACAGACGAATCCAAAAGCAAAGTAAGTACAACACACGCTTTTACTTGTTTGATTTCTGGTGTGTTTCTCGTGTTCTTGCTACTAACAACTTCAGTGCCTTCGGACCTTAACTACAGATATGTGAATTACTTTGGTTTTACTCATTTAAGATCTGACAGAGTCAGAAATTGCAACGTCTCGCACTAAATGAAGGCTCATTTCTGTGCAAATTCACGATCTGTGATATGTTATAAGAGTGACCTCAGAAGCCTCTAGGTCCCCAAAAGGAAACTCTCTGTACCACCAAGTGTTAGGAAGCACCTAGGTGTGAACGCACAATATCTAGAAGTAGCACGGACATGTGAAGCAGATTACTTTGTGACGTCCTTCAGAAACAGTACAACAACCCGCTACAGAAACTTTCATAGAAAACACACAGAATATACTGTTACATGTGGAGAAAAACCCACTAATCGCTCTCAATGTTTAGGCAAGAAACTTTCTTCCTTTGTAGAACAACAGGAAAAACAAGTAAGAACAAGTCATAATCATGAGTGTGTAGGTATAATGAAATTCACTATACCGAAAGCAAGAAACCATTACTCAATACCAAGAAATTGTCTCTATGATTCAGTTATATTCCCTCAAGGTCGTCCAAAAGACATTGTATATTGGATGTGACCTCAGCGGGTACTTTCTATCAAGGACGATGGTGTTGTTCGACTCATACGAAAAGCAGTATGGTAATCTTACGAGTGAAATAACATTTAAGTTGGGAAAAATTCCTCGCCTTAGTGGCGGTAAGTCTCTGATAGGCTTGTAGGTAATTATTTCAGATGAGCGAACGAAAGAAATACGTGATGTATCAACACTTTTTGATGAGACTAGAGAGTTAATTGAACAGATGTCACTAGAGGTTCAAGAAATGCGACCTGACTTGCGAACAAAATATCAAAATAGACTTGATTGCTACCGGAAAGAGCTGGAAAAACTAACGTCTGAGTTTGTGAGTTTATAACATTTTACTCCAAAGTATGATATAATTGAGAGTTAATCTTGACGAGAAGTGTTTAAACTGTCTTAGTAGTTTAGATCAAACTTTTTAAAATCTTGTCGTTTAGCCCTATATGGTAAACTTCGTTTAACTTATTTTGTTATTGTAACGAAGTTTCCTTGTGTTTATATATAATTAAATCTAGATGTTTATAATCGTACTTATCTTACCATAATAACTCCTATTTACATTCCACTATGTAATTTGGTGATGATTACTGTTCGCTTGATAATGACAACCGATCGTTATTCGAGGGATTACTACCTATAGATCGTTTATTTGTTCAAACCCACACTTATATGTTGTCTCAATGTTCATGTTTGTATGCATTTAGATTTCAGACTAAAATTTGGTGGTTGAAGATAGAAGGCTTGTAGCCTATCTTAATTCTCTTCTAGTAAATTTGTGTGCTTGTACAAACCCTTTTTGAAAGAATCAGTTGAGGTTGCAGACCACTTCTTCTGGGAGTCGGTTCCAGAAGTATATTTTATTTATTATTTATTTCATTTTGATTACAGCTTGATGCCACACCGTATTTTCAATACAAGTATGGAATTTTCAGCATGGGTGTCGGTAGCCCAAATTTTGCAGGCCGGCCATAGATATCAGGTGTGCGTCGGTAGGGGATCGAACCCCGGACCATTTGCATGGTTGGCGAGAGTCCTAACCACTGTGCCACCGACGCAGGTATGAGAACCAGTACTCAACAGCAATATGATTTCTCCTTGGCTTTTGAACTCTCCTGCTATGTCCTCTGAGGTGTTTTGACCTGGTGGGAAGGGAAAGATAAAAGGTCAGGTCCGTAGTCAATATTTAAAATTGTAGACATTGTAATTAAAATTATGTAATTAACAATGTCTGTAGAGTATTCGTCTGACGAGCCCTACCGAAATTCATGAGTTCATTAAATACTTATTTTTTTCACAGTTGTCGCTGGTCCTAAACTTGCTACGGGAAGAAAGTGTTATCAATAAATAGGATTGAGGTAAAAACTTAAAAATGTAATAGATATGGTTGCTCATTCTGTAACCATGACTGACCACGGTTTCTGTTTCGAATGTTGGCTCTGATTTTCGAAATTGTAGTGTCATTCCAATGCATCTCGTGCCCAGATCTGTATTGATCATGCCCCATCCGATGTAACTCCTTTTAAAAATTTGCCCGGAGCTACCGATAAATGCGTAAAGTGTTTCCTATCTCGATTGCCTACTCCAAGGGATTGTATCGTGCGTGCCTACCCACAGTCCATAATTTGCCGCTAAAGGGCCAACAGTGTGAAATCTATCTACACTTTGAATTCATTTTTAGTTTGTTTTTGTATCTGCGATATGACACGTCACTTATGTGTAACGTTTAGTGATCGTACTTAAATTTTGTTGACTCATACTTTAAAGAATTTCACGGTACCTACTCTGTGTTGCATGTCAACAAGATCCTGGTTGATTGGTCTTTTGGATATACTCAGTTTATAACGTGTCCAAAATTAGTATAGTATATCCTAACTTTTCTATACGTTCAATCATATATATATATATATATATATATATATATACTTGTCAAGTTTTGCACTAATGAGCATGTCGTTCGATATGTGCCAGTTGGGTAAATTTAGTCGGATTTCCATAGTTAATATTACGAAGCAGTATTCTGCCTTCTCACTGTTGTATCATAGAATCCACATTAGGTCACTCGACTTCTTAACAAATGTGAGGCGTCTTAATGACCTCATCCAACTTTGATCTTTAGCTCTGTTGATTGGCTTACCTATTCAACACGAAAGCGCTTGTCATCGAAAAACTGTAACCCTCTTATTGTGAGCATGTCTTTGAAATGTGAAGTAGAATATTGTTCCTTGGTTCGATAAATTCACAGTAACATGACAGAGCCGAGAATGACAAAGGATAGCAAGTCGTAGAAGTCGATTCATTAGAGACGTTGTAAACACTTAAGTAGATAATGCGGTAGACACATTTCATTACTGCATTTCTATATCCTTGAAATTAGTGTTGATGAAAACCAGTTCTGTAGTAACACTGTACAACTTACAGTTTACAAGTGAATGTCACTGATGTTTAGCTTGTTTTAATTGTCCTTATGATAGAATTATTCCGTATCTCACGTATAGAGAGAGCCTTTCTCAAGGAACTTGTCCCTTATATATCCTGTTGATTCTCGTGATAGCTCACTATAATTTGTTTCGTAATTTGACAAAAAATAAAGGTGACTAACGCACCTTTTTCCGTGCTTGCAATAAATTTTGCTCGTTTTCTTTACCCCATTTAGATATTTGTTGGACATAAATTGTTGCATCTTTGGAGTAGTATTTACCTATCTTATTTTCTTGTGGTTGAGACAAATTTTTTTTACCTTCCTGCTTAGAGGTATCGTAGATAACCAAAACTAGTTTCGTTAAACTAGCCCTCATCTAATATACTCCCTGTCACAGTGTTTATGATAATTTGAAGGCAAATTGATCGTTTTACAACGTCAAGTTGTATTCGTGCCATCTGCAGTTAGATACACTATATCTTATGTTCTTATCAGATGTAATAGGTTAGTACAAAGTAATACGAGTATTGATTTCTTTTAACCACGACAGCTGCTTATTATTACGTCTTCCTATGTCAACAAAGGAGACATTTACGCTTACCTTTTTCTTTTGGTTTCGAGTAACCCGTTGACATAATTCTATTTGTTCTTCATTTTCTGTTGTATTTGTGTCATACTCCGATCTTCTGTAGCATTGCTGTTTGTATTTGCAGTATCCTTAGTCTTGCTACTATTGGCTAACCACTTAATTCTAGTAATTATCTGTGCACGTAGTACTTGACACATTTCCTCATCTCCATTTACTTATATCATCCATTTCAGAAGCGACCACGTTACGCTGCTCGCTTACCTGATAAGAAGGATTCAGCAGCTTCTGACGACGAAGAAAGTTTACGTGAAGAGGTTCTCTTTGATGCAGATATGAGAGCTCAACTTCTAAGCAACACTGAAAGGATAGCTCGGTCTACCACGAAGTTGGAGGATGGAGTCCGCATCGCTTTAGAAACAGAAGATGTTGGTGGACACATCTTACAGGATTTAAGCGAGCAGAGAGAAAAGCTTCAAAGGAGCAGAGATCGCGTAAGTTTCCTTTTTTTATTTTCATGCAGTTTCAACTACTAATTTTGATTCATTAAGTCAGTCAGCAGGAGGTGATTTCAGTATAGATCTATCGGTGTACGTATTTTCAGTAAACAACGTACATTGATCACTGTTACATCAGAACTTTACATGTTTTATGAAACATTACCTTCTCTGGCTTGTTAAAGGGCACGGAAGTTATATCAATAGCATCACCCATGAAAACTTTTACGCCCCGAGACGTTTGTAGTGTGACTTAGCCATCCCATACCGATTTTTTTACAGGTCAGTTGGTTAGAATTTGGCGAGAACTCATTCGGAGCAGTTTTATTTACACATCAGGCTGTGGTCCATACCTATTGTGTGAGGGCTGGTGTTACTGCCCAATCTGAATTAGGTGTATCAGGTTACCCGTTAGCACTGTTTATTCGAAGTAGCTTACGAAGCTCCTCTAAATCAAGCCAAAAACCGAGTGAACGTGGTCGCTGTTAGTTTCGGACGTAAAAGTTATCACAAAATTAGCATTTAGATGTGTCAACTCTATGAAACCCATGGTAGCCACTTGCACAAAAATTCTTTCTTGTTTACTCTTCTCCCTCAACAATCTACACTTTAAAATTGGTCGGGTAAATTGTATTTCTATCAAGTAATGCCTTATATTGTTTTAAATCCCTCTTCTCTTGTATTTGTCTTTTTTGAAACTGTATTCCTTACTGTAATTATTGTAGTTTTAACTTTCACCTTTTAATTTTTCCAAGTTGTTTTCCTTTCTTGTGTAGGCTAGTGGCACAGGTACTCTGAAAACACCAGTAAAAGATATTTACAGTAGTTAAGCAGTTGAAAGCGCGATTCCTTTGCATTCCGTGTAACTGATAAAAACAACTCAACTTTTAAATCACGCATAGTGTTACCCTTGCCTACCTACACTCTTCTCATATTTTTCACTTTTGATAAGCGTTGCACTCAACAAAGAATCATTCATTAATATTTATCATCCATTGCAAGTAGTGACGCATCTGAAGAACAAATTGTTGCAGCATTGTCTCGTTAGCATTTAAATAATGGTTTTATGTAACTCACCATGAGTAAGTAGTAGATATCCGTCAACAGCTTATGAAACATGGTAAATAAGGGTGAAATTCGAATACCTGATCCTCTGGCTAGTATTTAAATCCGTAGATACCCCTTTCATTATTTTGGAGAAATATATAAGTTTTTTTCCTAATTGGTCTACTTTATACAGCTTCGCCAGGCAGATTCTGATCTGAAAAGAAGTTCACGATTAGTTGCTGTAATGACTCGTCGGTAAGTCTAAATTCATTTCAAAACTTATATTTTGAAAATAATTTTCTTTCCATAGGGCAGTGATCCTACTGCTTCGGGTTCTGTTGTTGTTGTCGCTGCCCTTCCTGTTGTGAATTTTTTTCCTTGTTTTCCTGATTCTAAAGGAAGCAACCCAAAAAAGTCGATCCCCTGTAACTTACATATTTATGTAAAAACTCCCTTCCCAATGGTGCTCAAAGAAGTGGAGACGCAGCTTACTGGACACAAAAGTAAGAAGAAGAGCAGACTTCGTTTCAGACCACTATCTCGTACAAGGAACACTCCAAATCAAATTAAAAGCTTCCAAAGAAATAGGAGCTGCAAATAGACCACAAGCCAAGTTCAATACTCAAAAACTGAAGGATCAGGCCACAAAAGACATCTTCACTGCAATCATAAGGAAAAAGGCGGAGACACAAATCTACACTAACGAAGAGACCAGCGTTGAAAAGCACTGGAACAGCCTGAAAGCTGTGTGGAGTCAAATCTGCATGGAAGTTCTAGGCAAAAAGAAGAGACAGGACAAACAGTGGCTCGCTGCAGACACATGGAGACTAACAGAAGAGAGAAGGATGGTGAAACAAAAGATTATCCAGTGCATCGACGAGCAACAAAACCAGGAGTTGAATGCAAGCTACAATACACTGAACAAAAGAGTAAAGAAGAGTGCCAGGGAAGACAAAAGAAAGTGTTATGAAGCCATGGCAAGTGAAGCAGAACAAGCTGCAGGCAAAGGAGACCTTGCAACACTCTACCAAACAACTAGGTTCTTATCGGGGGAAAGTTCTACACAAATTAAGCCAGTGAAGGATGACAATGGAAAGTCAATCACCAAAGAGGTGGAGCAAAGGAAACACTGGGCTGAACACTTCAAAATACTTCTAAATCGACCTCCACCTACAACGCGCCCATTAATACCAACAGCGGAAGCAGAACTACCAGTGGACATCAGTCCTCCGACGAGAACAGAAGTCCTGAAGGCAATCAAGATGCTAAAAGCTGGAAAAGCAGCAGGACCAGACGGAATCCCAGTAAAGGCATTGAAAATGGACCCAGAGACATCAGCGGACTTGATGACACCACTACTGGAGAAGGTGTGGAAAGAGGGCAAGGTACCTGCGGATTGGAAGAAAGGCTACTTATTCAAACTGCCAAAGAAAGGGGACTTAGGTCAATGCAAGAACTGGCGCGGAATTATGCTCCTGTCCATCCCAAGCAAAATACTAAGCCGCATCATCCTGGAGAGAGTCAAACATGCCTTGGATGAAAACCTTCAACCGGAACAGGCTGGATTCAGGAGGAACAAGTCATGTATCGATCAAATCGCGACACTACGTATCATCATTGAACAAAGCTTGGAATGGCAGTCAGCTCTCTATCTCAATTTCATTGACTTTGAAAAGGCCTTCGATAGCGCAGCGTCAATCGAGAGGTGGTTTGGAAACTACTTCGCTACTATGGGGTGCCACCAACAATTATACATCTCATCCAACAGCTGTACGACAATGCTGCATGCCAAGTATTCCACAACGAGAAACTCACGGGTGCTTCGCAGTGAAGATGAGAGTAAGACAAGCTAGTTGCCTACTATGTCCAATGATTTCCCTGATTGCGGTAGACTGGATAGTGCGACAGACAGAGCGGGCAACGAGGAAACAGGCATAAAATGGACCCACACAAAAAACTTGGAGGATCTGGACTTCGCTGATGATATATGTCTGATTTCACACAAACTGGAAGATATACAAGTGAAAATCAACAAGTTGGTAGGAGAAGCATCAAAGATAGGAGGGACTTCAAGTGAACATAGAGAAAACAGAGGTGATGAAGATTCCTGGCCAACAGCAACAGCAAGAACAACAGGCAACAATAAGCATAAGTGGGAGAAATCTGAAAGAAGCAACCTGATTTACTTACCCACCTACCTGGGAAGCATAGTTTCAACTACAGACGGACGGAACTGACGAGGATATCAAGGCGAGGATCAGGAAAGCAAGGCAAGCTTTCATTACTCTCAAGTCTGTGTGGAGGTCACCAGCACTCAGAATGAAAAATAGGATCCGAATTCTCAACTCTAATGTGAAGTCAGTTCTACTTACCGTACGGATCAGAGACTTGGCGCCGCGTCACCAAGGCCACTTCGAACAAACTACAGACCTTCATCAACAGCTGTCTTCGCTCAATACTACTCAAGATCAGATGGCCGGCCAGAAAAGATCAGCAATATTGAGGGATCTCTGGGAGCGAACCAACCCAGCAGGAAGCAACTATGTAACAAATATGCAGGAAGAAATGGAGGTGGATTGGCCATACTCTGAGAAAACCATCAAGTGACATCACACTTCAGGCTCTCGCTCTAGTGTAACCCGAACGGGAAGCGGCGAGCTGGTCGTCCAAGGGTGACATGGAGGAGGTCGTGTGAAGAGAAGATAAAAGCATGTGGGTAAACGTGGAGCCAGGTGAAAACGTTGGCGGAGAACCGAACGCAATGGGGGCGTGCGGCTGAAGCCTTATGTTCCTCTAGAAACTAAAGGAAACAATAATAATATAATAATAGGTAAAATATTTTTATCAGGAGCCTTGTTAATTTCTGACTGATATCTTTCCTCATAACAAAACCTGAATGGGCTCTGTCAGTCAGTATTCTTGGTTTTTAATTTCGTTTGTTAGATTTCGTCACAAACCACCATCAGTTAGAGAGATAATTAGAAATTAGGAGGCACTGGACATTTATTTCGTTCTATTTTTGGAATTCTTCATTCCTACACACCCACGACATCACCAGAAATCAAAGCCGGGACCTCCAAGTTACGGTTGATTTAGAAGACTGCTGAAAACATGATAAATTGGAGATGTGCTGTCTAAGCCCTGTGTTCCACTTGGAACACAAAGAAGTAATAATCACATAATTCTTGTTCTAAACTAAGCATGTAATTTGTGATTTCTTCCATTTGTCTGAATCGATCAGAATGTGCTAACAGTAGAACTTGACAGAAATGTGTCATAAAATGAGACACTTAGTTTTCATTGTGACAGTCGTAATAACCTTATCGTGAAGCATTAGGTTATTGTAACAAGACATAATTGTAGAAATCAATCCTCAGCAAATGGGATACTCAGCTTTCACCTAATTAGTTTTATTAATGCCTTCAACAAATTTTCAAGGTAACTTTTTACAGTTCGTGTGTAATAACTGACTGACTGGTTTCAATATAGAACTTTGCACAGATGTGCAGCAGTTCGAGTTGCCACACACCATATAGCATCAAAGCTAGAGAAAAGAGAAGTTCAAAAGACAGATAATAAACAGAAGTCTAAGGAAAAAGAATTGTGATATGGAAAAAAAAGTTTTATTGAATATGATAAATCACAAAGAGTGAATGCATCTGCCGTATGCATTGAGAACGATTTTGAGCCATATCACCAATTGTTTCCAGTTTCCATTGGTTCTTACCATCCCGAAAACCCCAACTAGTCAGGAAGTCTACACCTCCCAATGTGGCTCGAAACTAACTGTTGAGGATTTCATTGACTGGTGCCATGTTTTGGCTTGACCACCAACTTGATTTTATATCAGTTAACATGTCGAGGAAGGTGATGATTAGGCATGTATAACAGATTTCCTAACCATCCCAATCGGTGTAACTTCACAGCCTCTTCCATTGATTTCCCCTCCTTACCTACCACTCAACCGAAGCCTAACCTCAATGTTGCTTACCTTATTATACCACTTCACACTGGAGATAGAACAGAGGCACCTATGATCAAGGACAGCTAGCCAGGCTTTAAGTGTCTCCTACTTTCAATGGCCATATCTCACAGCCATAAAGGAGGACAGAGCAAACTGCTGAGCATTGCATACGTCCTTCGGTTGACAGTCGGACATCACGTCTACGCTAGAGATGACGTAAGTTGGCTGAAAATTGTCAAACGAGCCTTCTGTATCCGTGCTGTGTAATAACATGTATGTGCAAAGGCATGTACTGGAATAAAGAGGTTATCGAGTGTACGTTAACTTAAGTTATCAGAGTTTATTTGCTTTTTATCTCGATTTCTTTTGATCACATTTCTACGTATTCCTTTTTGTAGAGTCCTTCAGAACAAAGTCCTACTAATCGCTGTGATATCTCTAATGGTGTTAATCTTTTTCGTAGCCATATATCTGGTAACTCGCCATGCTACTACACCAGCCGCAGTTAATTCTTCTCACCCGTGATATATATACATATACATACATACATATATATTATCATCTTTCTTGTTGGTGTCCATGGGGCTCGTATCCTTACTGAAGTGAATACGACGATCCTCTTATATCCGCAACTACTGCATTGTTTATTGTGATAATATCTCCTGTGTTTTATCATGCATTGCTTTCTCTTCTTTTATGATATTGACTAATATTTTGTCTTAATTTTGAAACAAATGTATGTGATTTGAATTTCAAGCGTAAGCAAAATTTGAATTCTTTATATATCACTTTTTCATTTTGTTTCTTCTACACTGTATTTGTTGGTATTTTTTCCTTTTTTTTTGTGACTAACATAAATATTAAATATATTTTGTTTCTGCAGAAGAATACAAGGTTACTCATCAGTTGTTATATTCATACATTTTAGTACATAAATATGCCTATTACTTTTATGAGTTTCAAACAATTTTCGTTTTTAAGTCTCTAGGATCCACGATACTGATCTCTTCAATGCGTATATCTTTCACTGGACGTTCGTATTGTGTTGGTGTTTCTTCCATTTTGTCCAATGTTGAACTGCCTTCAATCACCCTTCTGAAAAATCGTGAAAAATATAATATTTGTTAGTCGATTTAGAATTTGAGCATTTGTTTATTAGAGATAAGAAATAATGTCTACATATCCGTTACCTAAGATATTCACAATATAACCGTAAGCTAGTAGTGTAAAGGAAACCTGACAAGCTTTTTTTCCAAATCAAGTTGAGTTGATACCTTATGAGCAAGCCATTGCCTCTTTTATACTCTTATTTTAATATGACGTGTACTGTCATACACCAGTGAGTGGGTTATCATTTTTAATGAATATCAACAACAGTCTCAAGTTGCAAGTCATTAGTTCTTATCATTCTGGAGGACTGCAGTCTACACTTCCCTAACGTGGGTCAAGCAAACAGTCAGTCTTCATGAATTGATACCAGGTTTTGATTTGACCAGTTAAAATTGCTCGATGAGAAAGGTAATGACTCATATCCTAGCCATCTCAAGGGGTATGGCTTTACGAACTCATCGATTGACCTGCCGTCCTTACCTAAGACTCTACACTTCACAGTATTACTCACCATATTATACCATTTAACACGGGAGACAGAACGCAAATCCCTTTGGTCAAAGACAGCTAACCCTATCATATCCTTCGATTTTAATGACTATGTCTCACAGCCATAAAGGAGAACGGAGTGAACTGCCTTGCAGTATACGCGTCTTTTGATGGATAGTTGGAGGTCAAGTTTGCGCCAAAGGTGACGTAAGTTGGCGAATGTCCGACTAGCTCTTTGTATTCATGGTGAGATTTTGTTAGTGACCAGTCCATTAGGGCTGATGCAACTCTCCAAATAAGTGAAGTTAACATGCTCAGCTCTTTAACTCTCTATTTCTAAGGTAGGGGTCGGTGCAAATCAGCCATGCTGTAACATCCTATATGTCGACCACACAGATTTCTGCCCAATGCGTTCAGAAGACTGTATTTTGTTAGCCTATACGCTTAGGAAGACAATATCAATCGCTTAATCTAAGTCGGCAAGACTGTTCCTTGGTAGTAAGTCAATCCCTAATTCACTACAGTCGATTGGGATCACATTCACTGGTGTGTTCATACTAGCGGAATAGTCCATGTTGCGAAGTCATTCAAAAGATTATTAGTCAACTCGTATTTGGGCAAATTATTCTAATGCATTTGAATAACCTAGCAACATATCGCTTACCATCAGTCGTACATGTATAATAAAATCAAAGATAAATGGGGACAGCGAACATCTCTGACATTCTTCACTGTTGACGTCACTTTAGATGGCAACTTTCCATAGGCTTACACACTGCTCGAGTATAGTGCCTTGTCTAGCGTGATATACTTCTCGGCAGTACACAGACGATCTACGAACTGGAATGCCGCCTCTAGGCTAAGCAGTGTTGTAGGTGCTTGACACCCGTAAGTATGCCTATCTTCCAAAATCTGTGGAAGGATGAATGCACTTTACCCGACCTAAAATGGCCTGCTTTGTCTTCCCAGGTTTGTTTATCTCGAGTACCGCCCAGTCTACTCATGATTGTCGAACCAGCAACTTTAGATATTATGTTAGGTAAGCTTATCGCCGTATAATTACCACAGGAAGACTTGTCTCTCTTCTTGTAGACTGGAATAATGAATGACTTACACCACTCCGGTGGAACTATCTCTGATTTCCATACGTTATCTAAAGTCTCAATTAACCCGGACAATGTTTCATCACCATCCTGCTTAAACACCTCTTAATTTATTCCATCTGATCCTACTGCTTATTTAATCATACACTTAACGTGTGTACATTTCACTATGTAACCCATTTTAGCTTTAAGAATTCAATGCACCTAGTTGGTGGATAGGGTTATTATCGCTGCATGGATAAGTCTATAGGTTAAAAAAACGCCAAGAACCGTTAAATTCTGTTGATGTAATTTCACATCTTTACTTGTCCGACAGGTAAAAGGATATATTAACAGTGCGTTGATGGAGATGTCCTAGTTTCGTGATGTTTTAGAATTAATAATACATGCAAATATTAATTATATCTGAGAACTTTTGTAGATACTCTTATTGTCAGTAATAATAGGTTTGTGTAATTTTTGTGCTGGAAGCGTTCGCTAACGAATTAACATGTATTTCAGTAAATATCTCATTTAGAGATGATATTGTCTCCACTACGCAAAATGTGTTACCAGTGTTTGGTATTGTGACAAACACAAACAAACTAAGCACTTTACTCGAATTTAAGGTATGCTGCTGTCTAAAGTGGCCATAACCAAGTAGTATTCGCTAGGAATTCCCATTTTTACTTGATTTTATCATAGACGAACAGACAGGGGATATCTCTATTTGACTTAAAACTTATTGACACGCAGTATACGGATGAAATCATCTTTTGAATGAAGGCGCTGACAACATGACTTTTTTTTTTGTACAACCCAGGCGCCAATGTTTGAAAAGTGTATCAACAATTTCTTATTTGAGGTGGTGCTGATAATCTGGTCTCGAAACACTCCTAGTTTATCAACAGGGAGTTAAATGATGAAACGCGTTGATCACATAATTTACTTAGAAAATTATATCAGCCTTAATAGATTCGTCGCTGACCGAATTTTAGTACCATGAAGTAGTCGACTGTTGTTAATTTCAGATGTGTAGATTGTCTCAGTAAAGTCTTCGAGGTACTTAAAGTTAGTCTTTGAAGATTTAAGGTGAAGTGATTGAAAAGACTTTACATTAGTTCGGAAGTATTTCATCTTTTTAAATAACTTTGAAATTGTGAAAACCTTCATTAGCCTCTGTAAAAATCTGTCTTTGATATATGCTTGTGCATTTTAGTATCACTACGTTTCCGTTCTTTTCTGTGGATATTTTCAAGTAAGGCAATTTAACTACACTCATTCCTATGTGTAGTTCTAGTTTGTCTATCAGTAAGTAACAGTGTTACTCCCGATTCACATTATATCATTCGGATTTGATAGATCGCTGTTGGGTGATATTAACAACCAAAGTTATGTATGTAATCCACATCAGCTTTAATTATTGTTTCTGTGAATTTGTTTGTAGGGAATTGATTTGTTCCAAATTTGATCATGGATTGATATCAGTTGAAGAACCACTGGAAATCAGGGAATACTAGACAGCTGTTTCATCCTGGTACGCGACGGGATTTTGAGCCCATGACCTAATGGTTACAAATCAAGTTCGTAGACCATTAATATAACAATAAAACTTGGGCACTGTGGTAGAGTGTAATTCCATTATGGGTAAATTTTATTTTGTTAAAGTCTCACAGTGTTATACAGTAATATTTACTGATGACGTTTCGAGCACAATTTATTGCTCATAATCACATCAAGGTCTTGCTATGATACCTTGATATGATTATGAGCAATAAATTGTGCTCGAAACATCATCAGTAAATATTAGTGTATAACACCGTAGACCATTAGGCCACCGGGACTGAACTCAATGGCCCATAAATTATAACTTCTACCAATTCATGAATTTAGCGTGACCACCAGCCGATGTCATCCGTGGCGAGTATTTGTCCTCACTGTCGACCAGGCGGGCTCCACTGGTCACGATTTCTCACTAGGACTCCAGGGAACTTCGCCCTGTAGCCAGTTACTAGCAAACATCAGACTGATTTCCATGAGATTTGTTTCAAACTTGATCATAGACCAATATCAGTTATAGAAAACCAGTGAAAACCAGCACTGGATTAGTGGACAGCTGTTTCGTCTTAGTTTGGGATTCATCGTCAGTAAAGAGGGTAAAGACGGAGGGTTTAGCGTGGGGCTAGCAACCCCACACCACTAAATCTTTCAAACCTCTAGAGAAACTTCAACACAGAAAGTATATCAAAAATACAAAAAGTTCAAAGTACGATCTTATTCTTCGCTAGAATCGGAGAGGCGAAATGACAGCGGGCTGACGAAAGCTTTCGGGAAGCCAGTCAACCAGCCGATGTCTCTTCTTCCGATGAAAGCAAGAATAAGAACGGGATGTACGTACAATGTACGACATTGGGAAGGCTGCCCAGGTAGCCAAACAAATGCGAAGATATGGCAAAGAAGTTCTGGGTATCTGCGAGAGCAGATGGAATGGATGTGGACTGACAACATTGTCAAAGGGAGAGTCAGTAATCTCCACCGGTCACTCAGACGACAACCACGAACGCACTGAAGCAATCAGTGGCAATCATTATGTTATCAGTGGCAGCTAAATCCCTAATTCAGTGAAGACCAATCTTCTCCTGCAAGATCTTGACAGCAAGATTCAACTCAAAAGGAAGGAAGGTAACAATTATACAATGCTACGCACCTACAAACAATGTGGAACAGGAAAAGAAGCAGGTTTTTTACAGACAACTACAAACAGTAATCGACAACATCACAAATGGTGACATCAAAATCCTCATGAGCAATATAAATGCAAGCCAAACTGGGAGCAGATAATACAGGAAGAGAACTCGTCATGGATCGAGAGGCTTTAACTCGGATAAATGAATGAGGACGGTGAATTATTCGCAGACTTCTGCTCTTTCAACGATTTGGTGATCGGAGGGAGCGTGTACAAACACAAGGATATACTCAAGACCAGTAACATGGATTCCGCCTGATGGACATACAACAGACCAAATACATTTCATATCAATCTCAAGAAAGTGGAGACTCATCATGTTGGATACAAAGTTGAGAAGGGGAGAAGATGGGTTCGGACCATCATTATCTAGTTCAAGGAACCTTCAATATGAAGTTGAAATCCATGAAAACAAATGGAGATAGGCCACTGTGATTCAAGTTCGACATTCAGAAACTGAAGGACAAAACTACAAGGGATACCTTCACTAAAGATATCAGAGCAAAGGCGTAGACACTACGTGGCATTACTGAGGAAAATTGCGTGGAAGAACATAGGAAGTCTCTGAAGGCGATATTCAAAGAAACGTGTACAATTGTCTTAGGAAGAAAGAAGTGACAAGGAATGGCTCTCAGTGGACACCTATCTGGAAGCTAATAGAAGAGAGGAGAGAAGGAGGATGAAAGATAAGATGACTTAATACA